GTTCCATAACTACTATTATGTTTTTATAACTTACCTTCGAAAACTGGTTATAACCATAAGCTTATGATATCATTTACCATTGATATAAAAACTATGAGTACTTCGAATTTAGTATAATGATGAAAAACCTGTGGCAAGAAATATATTGCAAACAGAGGAAAAAAATAGATCATTTTATTAATATATGGTTTGAAAGGTTTTTGAAGTCAAATTTATTACAGCATTTTAATTAACGATAGCTTGGTAAATAAAGCGTTAAAAATATCTGAAGCAATAACGAAAAAATATACTTTAATTAAACATTAATATCAAGAACAAACTAAATAATTCCTTCAAGTTTCAGTTTAATTTCATAGTCCAGTTAGACTGAATAGCTTCTATGTAATATAATTTTAAAAATAAACCTAATAACATATCATCAACATAAATATCCAAACCTAAATTAATGCTCTCACGATACTTATTGTACTTTTTCACATAAAAGCAAACAGTCTTTTTGGATCTTATGCATACTTTATAAGGTTTACTGTGAAGTTGTAAGGAAAAAGGGTTTTTACATTTAAAAAGTCGTTGATGCGATAAAAACAAACAATTTGTTACATGAACTAAATTATTGGACACAATAGTCAATAGAAAGATGAATAAAAAACGATTCCATACTTATTAATATGAAAAATTAAAAGCTTAAACGAAATAGTAATTAATACTAGAAAATTATTATAAATATTTGAAAAGAATGTGATATGTAATTCAATAAAACTCTTTTTATATTTTATTCGTTTAGTTGTTTTACATTTATCAGTAACTATTCGTGAAGTGTAATGTATCGGAATAGCTACTAACTAGTTGAAGATTTTTTCCATTATTATTCTTAACACTCATTTATATTAGGCAAATACAAATGTTAAAGAATAAGTATACGAGCGTTAAAAAAAATTACCTTAAGCCAAATCAACGCTAGTTCTTCTGAAATTGTATGACAATCTCTAGTTTCTTATCTTATTTTTACGTTAAGTAGGAAAAATCTTGATAAATATGTTTTTATTAAAGCAAAGTAAGACATATAAATTATGAAACTATAATGTACAACTACAATATGCTGTATCTTAAAGTTATAACTAGGTATATTTATCGGCATCCAGCATCAAAACAGAAAAAAATCTTACATGAGAAATTAATAACATAATAAATCTTAAAAAAACAAAGTACATAATTTTACAAATTATGTTAATACTCTTTAATTGAGCTTATGACGTTTAAGCCAATTCTTAATTAACTGCAACTAATTACAGTAATTAAGATACAATCAAGAATAGATTGAGATAAAGTCTACTATAGAGCTTGAGATAAGAATTCTTGCTAAAATAGTAAAATGGAATCTGGTATCTGCCAGTAACATAATATATTTTAATTGGTCTTATGAAGTAGAATATCGATATTTCTCAGATCTTTTGTTAAGATCTTTTCTAGTATATAAAGAGGACAGTATGGTCTCCATCATATATTAGATATTAATATGAAAAACATTATCATCGCATGTAAAATTATGACTATTATAACATATTTTTTCCAGTTCCCCAATTGAACTGTCTGCATTTGATTCTACCAATTCCACGTTCGTTCCGTTTTTCGTTCATGACAGAATTTACGAGCTCAGTGGACCTACAACTGTCACTCAATGTTACTCGTTTATTGAGATCCGAATTTGTTGCGTGTAGGGATTTATCTACTGTAGAAAAAAATAAGTTTTATAGACGTGCAGAACATTTCATATTATAACTACAACTATTTTTATTTCATATAGTGTATAACTATATACTTTATTCGTTTGTAATAAGTCAATATAATTTATTTTTAATCATATGATTTCGCAGCAACAGTTTTCATGTATCAAATACTGAGCTTGTAAGACAGCATATTTTAAATTATGTTATTGCTTATTAATCAACCCTCCAAATAGTAAGTACCTTAAACTGGACTTCCGTTAGATTTTTTCTCAATAAGATAAAAATAAGGGAACTTACACTTTATTTAACATTGTTACTTGGATAAAATTATAAACGAAATCGAGGTTTAATGAAAGTATCATGAATCGCGTTTTGCTATACCCTCTAAAGTAATGATGAAGCGTTTTCCTTTAAAGATGATTCAAGCCAGATCAATGGTCCGTGTCATTAAGAAAAGCTCGGATCTAGAATCTGTCAAGAGTGGATCTAGGAACTATCAATCTATGGAGAAAATAAATCTTTATCTGGACTTATAATATAATAAACGTGCATGAAATATTAGAGCATCAAATAATCTGGTAGAGAATTTTCAGCTTCGGTTTTTTCTTTATAGTTATAGCCATATATGTACGTCATACTACTCTCATTTCACATTTAAGTATTCGAACGGTGTAACTCAATATAACCACGGCCATCGAGGGTGGTTGACTTGGGATTCAGAATTTAAAGAAAATAATCTGAGCAGGTATTGACTTCTCTCAACCAGAAAAAGACATTACATATTTGTAAAATAAATATTTGTTAGAACCTACAATTTAGTTCTCATAAAATAATGTAATCTAACTTAAAGATAAACAAAATCTATACACAGGAACTATGAAAAGGTAAATCTAAATTTATTATGAAAATAATTATACGTGTTCTTGTTAGCCAAATTACTGTAACATTTTTAATTTTTTTATTACATATACTTCGAAATTGACATTACAATATAAGAAAGACTCCTAAAAGAGTTACTCCTAAGAATACCCTGACATTCGTAATGTTGGTTTTCACATAGCCAAAAGAAATATCTGCTGTAGCTACGAAACTTTTTATTAATTTTAACTTAGTTCGTTACTTTTTATAAGACGAAACATTTTATAATATAAGTCATGATAAAAGCGTCGTTTAGTCATTATTTTATCGTCTGTTTCCTACCAACTCTCATTAGTGTCAAGACAATATGCTCCACTATGCCATTAAAGTTTCTTTATAAAGTCTGTATTCAATAAATATTTAGTCTCTGATATACGATTTTTAATGTGTTTGCAGAAACCCGACATTTTTATAATTTAACTTCATATTATCAAAACGTTGATAATGAAGTAATAAGCTCAAAAAAGTCTCTTTCATAAACTTTCCGTGAAAGTCAAACTGTTTCGAGTGTGAATGAAACCTTATCACAAAAAATATTGCGTTTGTGACCTTCGTAGCCTTTCATGTATATATAATACTGATTATAATATATATTATCATCATCAGCCTATTCGTGTCTACTGCTACGCACAAGGCCCCTTTTGCATGGAGAAGTTTAGGGCATTAACCACCACGCTCGCTCAAGCCGGATTGGCTATTTCAAACTTATAATTTGAAATTATAAGTACTGTTTCCCTCACAATCTCTGCACTTGGTCGCCATATTCTTCTTCTGCGAAACAGTCATAATAGCTAAGGAGGATGCGGAAAGCGTTAGGAAATGATCCTCTTTATGCTCCAGTCGCCGCAAGAGACGCTTCAGGCGTTCAGGATGACGAGATCTGTCACCGTAAGACCTAAGAATACCGCCCGCGCCTCGAAAAGCCATCTGACCACCACAGATGGAGCCCTAGAGCCGATGTCATGACCGGTTGCGGGTGTAAGCGCAATGATGTATCGCGACCTGGTTCGGAGCAAGAGTTGGTATTGGAGGTTTTTCTGACGCTCCCACTTGCCCCACCCAGTAAAAGATGGGTCATTTGATGATTTTTCCCTTATAAAAAAAGATTTTTTAAGATGTTTTCCTACACAATCTGTCAATGCTGTCTAAATATTTATACAATATATTTTATATAATAATATTTAAAATTTTTCTTTAACTTCTGTGCACACCCTACTGACTACTCTCCTACACTATTCTGAGTTGGCTGGCAGAAAATGGTGTTATAGCGTTAAGTCCGCCTTTTGTACATGTTTTATTTGTGCAATAAAGAATAATTAAAAAAAATACTCTTGATTTAAATAAAAATTGGAAAAAATCACATTGGCATTTGCCAGGTTTCGAATCTGCACATGCACAAGAAGCAGGCCGTTAACTAGTAGGCCACCACAACTATATATGCATAAATATATATAAAATGTTTGTGTATCACTAGTCCGGAATAATCTTTGAAACTAAGCAATTAATTTAAAAGTAGTTTCACTATATTTGAATGTTTAATTGTTTGATGTATCAATCAATATATTATCTTTTATCCTAAAAAGCTTTTTCTCAACAAGATAATCAATCAAATGGGTTTTCCATACAAATTTTGCATTTGGTTTCCTAATGCTCCTAAACAACATTCCATGGTTCATAAACAACAATTTCATAATTAATAACGACATAATCTTTCTTTCATTGACAATGCTAATTAAAGAAGAAATATTTTCCACATAAAAAATATTGTAGCACCATACAAGTACAACTCTAATAAAAAAAAAAACAAAGTTAAAACCCATTCAAATGCTTTAATTTGTAAACATTTTAACATTATTTGTGTAACAAAATCTATACTTAAGAAAACTTATTTTTACATAGTTAAGTAAATTGCTCACAATATTTCTTTAGAAAAATCTATTTAATTCTATGTTTCAGATATAATCAATCTCAAATACTTTCCTAACTGTCACAAACATGCTTATGGATACATTTACAAATGCGTTAAATAAAGTACAAATTTGAACGGAATAAATCATTTAATAGTACTTTTTAGCATATTTAGCTTCAAAGTTTTATATAAATAGAGAGTTATAGAGTCAGAAGTCATGAAGTCAGAAATTTTGTGACTAATGGTTTTCAAAGTAAATATAATACAAGAAAAATTCCCAATAAATATTTCCTTAATTATTTTAATTCAAAAATTTGGTTTCTTTCGTGCCGTTTTAAAATTAAATTAAGCTTGGAGACAACAACTCTATAAGAACTTAAATATGTGAAAAAAACTGCAAGTTCACTTCAAACACAGATCCTTTTCACATCAGATCAGAAGTGGCTTCACTCTCTATGTACTAGGACATAAATTGCTAAACACGCCAATACAGCAAACTGGAAGAAAAAAACATTTCATATTACAGTACATCGAGTAATATAGGCAATAGAATTTTAAGTATATCACAAATAAGATTATTAAGTGCCTTTCTAAAGACTAGATAATCAGAACTAAGACTTGCAAATATTCATTTAAAATTTAAATGAAACTAATATTTTCAGATTCCTATGGATTTTCTGTTATTTTTGAAAACTGAATACAGCTAATATTTCATTTACTTTGCAGCAACCATGATTATGGGCAGAGGTGATGTGTGATCTTGTGAAATCCAAAAATATTAGCTTCATACAGACTAAATAATCATTTTCATAAATTTTATACTTAAAGGAATCATTATGGAGTATAAAATCTGTGTGTGAAATTATATTTACCTTAAACTTAGGATATTCATTCATATAAATTGTAACCATACCAACGTATGGTAAGAACCCTCTAGTACGACCTACTACATCCTTCTTTGTCAGCCAAAGCTGCCCTTGAGCATATAAGCCTCGATCATCAACACTATTGTTATCACCTTTAGTTAAAAATTTAACAGTGCCATTATTCCTGTAAAGAAATTACTGTTAGTTAGATTTAATTGTATAAACTTCACTTTTAATTAGACTTAAGAGTACTTTAAAGCATAATTGTAATTTTCAAAGCAATTTCCAATGTTTTAAAACTGATTTTTTTTTTAGTTGTCTTACTTTTCATGAAGCTTTAACACTCTGTGTACAATTGGAATGTCTCGGCCCTCGACCTTGAAGACGACGATTTCTCCAACACGGACGGGTTCATCGGGGTAGTTAGTCAAAAATAAAAGGTCGCCCCTATGAAACGCTGGCTCCATACTGCCGGATAACACAACCACAATAGGGCTCTCGCTACCAGTGACGACCATTAAACCCTTCCATATCATCAAAGCTGAAGAAACTATCATACCAAAGCTAAGAACTTGGTAGATAAACTGGAATTATGAAGAAAAACACTATAACCACCGGTATTGGTCACGTCATCTTAATGAATGAAAAAAATTTACCTGTCTTTTATTCATACGCTTCACATCGTCAAATAAACTGTCCAACATTTTTGTTTTTTGAAATTTTATTCAAGAAGATATTGAATTTGAAAGAGTGGTTTTGGTTAAGTTTCACAGAAGAGGCAATTTTTTTGTCAACACTCGACAGCTCGACAGCACCACGTCAGATGAAAACTTCAAAACAATACAACAGATAAGCAATAGAAAAAAGGAAGCTAAATTTCAAGTGCTTTACATATACCTTAAAAAATGAAAATTATAATACATAATATAAATTAAGTGCAGAGGTAATACATAAGGACAACAATAAAATCATAGAATAAATTATATTGATATTGTCAAAAGATTAAATAGACCACGGATAGTTTAGCATCGTAGCTTCCATTTAAAAAATCTATTGCAAATCAAATATCTAACATAAAAAATCTATTGCAAATAAAATTATTTTGTTATTACTCTAAAGTAATACCTGGTTTCAAATCTTCAGTTTTTGAAATAAATATTCTAAAATTTACTATTGTATATTCTAGTTATAATTTCTCTCTAATCATAACAAATATAATTTATTTATATCTTTTATAATTTATGCAAAGCCACTTTAATTCATAAAACATTTAATTTATCAAGAAAATAATCGATATTTTCTTTCATGATAACCTCGTTAATTTATAATCTGGAAAAAATACTTTTTCCCTTTTAAAAATATTTCTATTTAACTAATCACTGCACAATATTAGTTTCATTATTAAATAATATAAGAAAATACTAATTTCAGGTTGATTGCAACCTATTTTGATGTGTGACAAATACATGTATGATATAGGTATTAAGCATGTAACCAAGAAACATTCCCAGAAATATGTGTTATGAACATTGAAATTTGAACTCAAATTTTTCTATATACACACTGGGTGGCATTAATAATTCAATACCGCATTTTTCAGCGTAGGTATCTTTTAATTAGGTTCGCGCATTGATATCCATTTCACGTCACTATTCGAAGATTTGGTTTTTCCTGAGAGATAAAATATATAAAATCGTAGCAGAATATAGAATTCCCTCATTTGCATTTTTTAACACCGAAAAATGCTACTGATTTTGTTATTAGCATTAGTTATAAGTTCAATTTTATAGTCCTTATAGCGACAGGAAATTTAACGTTACATTATTTAAACACTTTGTTCTACAATTATAGGTACGTTTTTTTTATGTAATGTTTCACTTTATTTGTACAGTTAGACTTGGAGTTTCAATACATATGGAAGTTCATGACTCGTGTTTAATTTCTATTAATTACGATAACAAAACTCAAACACTAAATGAATTTTGGGCCCTTACCAAAACAGTCACTTACCTTGTAAGTTGTACCTAAAGTTCAATAAAATTTCGTACTTAAACAAATTTCTTACTCCATACTGTTTTGGTTACTGTTTTAATTTCATGAATCGATCATAATAAAGTTATATACTTCAGTCCTGTCGTTATGTGAATGTAGAATCTCGTGATGGTGAAGGTTAAAAATATTTAAATTAATCAAGAACCAGCTTTTATTATACACTTAAATTGTATAAAAGTTCAAAGGACAAAGTTTTTATACACTTGAATTGTATAAAAACTTTGTCCTTTGAACTTTATAAACTTCTATAGAAGCATGTTGATTGTTTTTCTTGACTTTTTTTGAAAAGGCACTTATATGTAGCCAGTATAACAAATATCAATGAACCTATAGAATCCCATACAGAGAATACATTTCAAAATGACCTGGGGATATAAAATTAGCTCAAATACAGTTTTTCTAAAAGCACTGACATCTTAATACATGTTAAGAAAATATATATGTATATAAAATAATCACAAAACATGGTAAATTGTTTAAATCATCCAATAAATGAAGACTTTAGTCATGAACAGGACAGACCAGTTGATTAATTTTTATTCCTTTTAATTGTTATACATAATACTTGTATTATAAATATCAAATATGTAATTTTATCCTTTCATATCTACATCAACATCAGAAAACTTCAACTTAACAGTCAGAGTATTTGGTGTTGTTATATCTGCAACTAAGATTTCTGCTCCATTGTATAAACCAAGTTCAGTTATTTTCTTCTTAAGATTGTCCCTCGTTTTTTCTTCAATACTTTTTATGGACGACATGTAAAGTGTTTTATTGCGACCATTAATTACAGTTGTTATACCTGAAATACATTTTTATGGTAATAAATAGGGTTTTATGTTAAAAAATTAATTATTAGTATTAGCTTTATACAAATCAACTTACCTGGACTCTTCATTAAATACCCTCTATCTTCACATAACTTATCATAAATAGCTTGTAGAGTGGCATTACAGTCAATTTCCATAGTTCTTGTAGTATTACTACACGCAACACAGTCTTGTCTTCTTTCCGCATTAAAAGTATATGTGTACAAACCATCAGACATATTTAACACCATATAGTTGTTCATATTAATGCAACATGAAGATGCTAGTTTAAAAACCTGAAATTAAGATCATTTCTTTTTAAAGAACTATCATTTCTATTTAAAAAGATACTCATTTGTTTCATTGTATTTTTTGTTATAAAAACAGTAAAAATGTAAATTAGATATAGAAGTATAGAATAGAAATTTCATTTGTTTCATTGTATTTTTCTAAGTTATTGAGAACATAATCAGTAAAAGCTGGTTTTGTGCATTTATGTAAGTATAGATAAAAACTAAATACAAAATTTTAATTGCAATTGGTAATCATGAATTAAAATTGTATATTTCTTAGAATATATTTGGTATGTTAACGTATGGACATAACACCATTCTCTTGCCATTTGACATTTTTTCTTGTTTGGACTTTTTGTCTGATTGCAAAATAAATACTAATCGAGTTTCCAGTAAGTTGTGATTAAATACATACTAACCTCGGTAGCACAAGCGGCAGCTATAGCAGCATTGGTGCTGGCAACAGCGGGAATAATATTTTTCAAGACACCCTGTGTTAATCTATATGTTACCGAAGTGATTCCATACTTCATGGCCCTCTCTTGGGCCTTTTCGTATACCCATGCTACATGTTGAGGATCATCACTATCCAAAATAGTTGAAGAACCCCATGGATTTTCCTTACCCCATTGAAGTACTTTCACATATTCCACACAATGCTCCGGTAACCTGAAACATGATATATCTGATTAATTTATCAACTCTCTTTGAACTGAGTTATCTTGATATATTTATTTTATACCACTATTATTATAATTGCGAAAGTTTGTGAGTGTGTGTGTATGTTTGTTACTTCTTCATGCTCAAACGGCTGAACCAATTTTGATAAAATTTTGTATACAGGAAGCTGACGTCCAGGAATAACATATAAGCTATTTTACATTCCAGAAATCCCGAAAATTCCGGAATTCTGCGGGTAAGACCGCGGGGCGCAGCTAGTAATAATATAATGGTTAAAAAATTTAAAAATAATAGTAAAGTATAGAGTAAATATTGGTATGTACCTTGGTGTGTTAGCAATAGTACATAATGGAAATGTTTTTTGCGGAGGATACAGATCTAGGGTACATTCAATACAAGCGCTCATTCCTGGTAATATAACTCTTGCATTGCCTTTGAATCCTTCAGTACCTCCATCCACTAATGGGATAACGCTGCTCTGATCTAAACTTCCTGAAAGGAAATAAAAGTTTGCCTTTCAAATATTTTATATGTGAATGGAGATTTTATATAACATTTCTATCTCAAGATCTGTCTGACGTTATTAAGGTATTATTAAATATAAGCTATGCATTACTGTCATCATTATATTGAAGTAGAGACATAAGCATCCCATTTAACCAGCGCCTTGCCACAATCGAGTCTAGACCGCAAACTACGATATGGAATTGACGATAAAATCCTTCATCCATATCTTGAATAGAACAGTGATGGGCAACTGCCTCACAACCTGGCACTCTAGAAGTAATAGATCATGACATTAAAGAAATATTTTACATATATTTTATATGGAATAAAATGAAACAAGAGCAACCTTTTATTTACAAATTCTACAGCACATTTGGCTTTTGATAATCCAATATCATTCTTTCTAAACAGGAACTGTCTGTTGAGATTTGAAAGTTCAATGGTGTCCATATCAATAATGTGTATTTTCTTAAAACCCATCAATGCTAGATCTTTCAGTAGTTCGCATCCGAGGCCTCCAGCACCAACGACGAGGACTTTGCACGAATTCATTATAAAATCTAATATTTCAGCGGACGGCTCGAAATCGGGATGACAAAATGGTCCGGATCTCTCTAAGACTTTTCTCACGTTGTGCCATCTCCTTTGTTGATAATCAGACTTTACTGCCTCACCGTCACCCATTATCTAAAAAATTAAAAAATACAACAAAATTTGTAATATTTGACTCAACCGGCATTTATTTAGTAGTCTGACATACAAAAATATTAATTTAATGCTCTAGTTATTACTATTATCAACTTTTTATGCAATCCCAATGAAGGAAACAAAATGCCTTACATGATTTATCAATCACAATACTAAAGGATAACAAGCAAGAAGGTTTCAGCGAGCTCTTAGTTCAAAACTGCAATACAGTTAATTCCTAAGTAGGTATTATTATTTTAATTTTTATGTTCTTGTCAACAAATGACAGTGACGTCTATGAACAAGTTGTCAGTAAAAATAAGAAATATTTTAAAATAATGTTATATCACCAATTTGAAAAGTATATAACATATATAAAATTTTTTAAATCTTGTTTTTTTTATATTTTTATAATTTAATTTTAAATATAAGAGTATGTATGTAGGTGCATAGTACACTATCAGGTATTACTAGTTCACTGGCTGGCTCTAGGTATAATTTGTACTATGTATGTATTCATTTGTTAAAAATGGCGTGATGGTGGTGATTTTGTTGAAACATACGAATTTTCGAGTTAGCAGTTTCACATATATGGTAGCTTATGTATGCTTTTAACTGCTTGCTTAGTTTTCTGTAACACCTCCGATCCAAGTTTAATATGGTTGTGTGAGATGAAAATCGACCTAGTCGTCAAAATTTAAGGGAGAGACTGTCAGTCTGCGATCATTTTGGTAGGTACCTAATCCCTCGTGATATTATACCATGCTTGGAGTATATATACTCCCTAATGGTAACATAAATTTCCGCGAATTTACTTAAATGAAGTGAAAGTTACATTATTTAAATAAGAATAAATAATATACGTTTGGCATCGAAGCATTGAAGGAAATACCTTGGTAGGTCGGCGTTATTGTAAAAATGTGAATTTTATCAAAATCTCTATATGAGAATGTGTATGGTGTGTGAGATAAAAATAAAGAAAGAAATGTAACATTTTGAAATAAATAAGTGTCACGAAAACATAAATGTCGTCTTTAAGACGAACGTGCAATATTAACACATGTGTATATTTAAATGTTACTTTATTGCTTTGTAGATGTCAAAATGGCTGGTAACAAAATAAACACTAAGAAAAAGGAAGAGAAGGGTAAATCAAACAGAATTGCTGGTCAATCTATTGAGGAAACTGAGGACTTTGACTTCTCCTTGCTGAGAAAACCAATACATACTAGTGTTACAGGCTTTGCTCAAGCAAGAAAAGTTTTCGACTTAGCCACTGAGGAGGTATAGTTCATTAATTAAACACACTAAAATATTTTTAATATATTGTATTAATGAGTAGAATTCTAAAAACATATATACAATTTATTTTATAGCTCAAAGGTTTACTCAGCAATGAATGTGACTTGTTATATGAATGTAAAGTATGCAGGAATATATTCAGAAGTTTAGCTAATTTTATATCACATAAGCGTGTCTACTGTAAAGAAAAGTTCAATCCCTCTGAACATGGACATTTCATTAAAAATACCTCCTCTGTAAGTATACATATGAATTTATTAAAAAAGATTTTTTTGTATAGAATTTTAAATAATTTATAAAAAAATATTATCTTCGTAGAAAGTAGTTTATAGATTATATATATAAATGTAATTTGATTTATTTTACAGCTAAATGAAATTTTGAAAATAAGAAAACTTGAAGAGAGCTATCAGGAAATAATGAGGAAAGAAAATGAGTCGAGTGAAATGGATGTAGATGAGACAGAAGAAAGGATTCCACTCACAAAAGATCTTACAGATATTATAGAAAGGATATCTAAAACTAAAGGGGTACAGCAGAAGGAATTAAAGGAACAAAATTTAGTGTTTCAAAAAATACCAAAAAGTACCGTTGCTGTTTTCCAAAATATTGAAAGTAATGAGAACAAAACCGATACAATGAAGGCTGAGGTAACTACTATTCATGTAAAAGATTTGTTATTGTTTAGTAAATGATTTATATACATATAAAATTTATTACATAATCACTCAAATCTGTATGTAGTATTTTAACGGTTTAATAATGAGGGTGCAAGCAAATTGATGGTTTTTTTTCAATTATATAGTAATGTAGATTTATATTACTTAAAGTCACTGAATTCTAGTTTAATGATAGTAATATTTCAATAGTATTTAAACTTCAATGTGTTATCATTGTTGCTGGCTTCAGATTACACGCTATTGTCATGATTTTTTGTAAGGACCAGAAAAAGTTATCATAGTGCAACTAATTATTAATATGGTGATTGTTTTAAGCAAGTAAGGAATCAGTGTTATAAGAAATTATGTAGTGAAAAATTATGGCTTTAAGACTAAAATAAAGGAGGTTCTGTTTTTTTCCCTTCTGTATATTTGATTTTATAAAATTTAGTAAAATAATATGGTTTTATTGATTCAAAATCATACAACATATTAGAAGACTTGTGAAAATAGTAAATAATTTGTTATTTCTAAACTTCTAGTCTAATTATAAATTTTGCTTGATACTTATAGGTTAGTGAATTGGACAATATGTTGTCTCAAGAGAATGCAGTGTTACAAAGCGACGGCACATTCAAAGTACAAATCAGCGATGTACAAATGAATTCAGAAAATGTTATACAAATTAGTGATGATGAAGACAATGAAGGTGCACCATATTCTGTCAAACATGGTGTTCTGAAATGCGAAATTTGTAGGTTTTATTACTTTAAATTTAATTAATAAAAGTGATTTCAAGTACATGTTTATTTATTGTATTATATTTGCAGGTGATTTACAGTTTTCAACTCAGAAAACGTTAAAGTTCCATATGAAATATAAACATTTAGAGAGTCGTTTGGTTTATCCTTGTCCCGATTGCTTGGACATCTTCTCAACATCCTGGAGTGTTTATAGACATCTGTTCAAAGTACACAGGTAGATATATGATATGCATTATTTACATATATAATTATACACTATTTACATATTTATACTATTTTCATAATCATACCTAAACTAAAATATTTTTATTGTAGAAAAACCGCTGCTCAAATCCGTCGACTGCGAGAGTCTATACAAGCTAAGGCATTTAAAATGAACAACCCGCCAGCATTTTACGAGAAACGGAAGTCCGTTTTGAAGAATTTTCCAGCCCAAAAAATTACAGAGGAAGAAAGAATCTATCAAGAGAATCAGGTGATAAATTTAAACATTTGTTAGACAATTCATTTTCATATATTCTCTAGGAATATTAATCTTCTTTGACTATGCTCCGTAATAGTTACATTTATTAACATAATCAATAAAATTGGCCCAAGTTTCGCCCTAAAACATTGAAGGTCCAATCAAAATAGGTCCAATAAAAAATCCATTAAAATATCTTGCATTTAATACAAAGCTGTTAATATTATATAAGAAAAAGTCATCAATTTATGTGTATTAAATACTTATACCCTTTATACTATGATTTTAGTCTTGGGAGTTGGAGGTTGAAGGCGAGGGTCGTCGTTGCGGTGGCTGTGGTCGGTCGTTTGAGCGTAGAGCAGCACTAGCAGCTCACGCACACACATGCGCTAGAAGACACACACGAAGAATACAAATACAGATAAGGAAGGACTATCACAAGGAACAGAGCGCGCCGTACCTCGTCATCAATAGAAACGATGGTAATCTTTATATATATAATTCTTCTGTGAGTGTGTATGTCACTGAACTTCTCTCAAACGACTGGACCGATTTTGATGAATTTTTTTGTGTGTGTTCAAGGGGATCTGGGAATGGTTTAGATTCACAATTTTGTCAATCGCTGGACAATGTTTTTTTTAATTAATTTTTAATTTATTAGTAGTTGTTGATGCAAAAGTTTTCTTTTTCACATTAGATTTGACAACTAACTAAAATGTCAATCATTCTGTTGAACTTAAAAAAACGGAGATTAATGGCTTTAATAGGTAAACTCAAAAATATAAATAAAAAACAACAAACAGATATTTCTCGATTTTAGAGTGATACGAAGTTCGCCGGGTCTTCTAGTATACCTATAAAGAACTTCAAAACGTTAGGTCGTAGCTTTTTATTTTTGGTTTATATATCCTTAAAGTATTCGAAAAATTTGGAATAGATCTGAATATGGTTTTTGCTGTAAAATTATATTTAAAGTACTTGGGATGTGAATGAAAAAATATTTCAATCGAAACTGTATTAATTGGAGAAATTGTTTATTAAATGTGTGGATTTTGATAGCAAAAGAATAAAATAGCGTTTAAAGCTTATAATAATGATTAATATTTATTGAACAATAAGCATCTGTAAAATGCTTTGTATTTTCTATGAGTTATACAACTACGGGGTCAAAATAATAATGTTTTATTTTGAACGTACCTACGACTAAGTATTTGATTTAAAGTCTATTGTCTAATTTTGATACTATAAAAATTAAAAGAATTGGAAAATTGGTTATTCTGGTGATAATTTAACTTTACCCTTATTCCTGAAAGTTTTTCGTTAATAAGTATGACGTTTTATAACGAGAAAATAAGATAGCCCTTTAGGCCTCGGCCTCGAATTTTGCGGGCAGCGGAGCGGCGGCGGCGGCAGCACGAAAACGCATACATTTCTCCAAAATAGCGGGCAGCGGGCACCGCTGTATTCGAGGGTCGGTCCATTTGATTATACGCGTAAGATCCTGCCGCTCCCGCTCCCGCTCCGCTGCCCGCAAAATTCGAGGCCGAGGCCTTATAGTATATATATATTTAAGTTAGTACATTACTGAATGATTATGATATTTTTTCAGAAAATAAACCATCTGAGGAGAAGAATGAAAAGCCGCCAGAAAAAGAAATCGAAGAGAAAGAACCGAAACCTCTCGAGGAAGCTGTTATGAGTACCGTTGATGTGAAACAACCAGAGACCGAAGATTACAGAGACGATGACACACAAGACGTGCCGACTGGGAACACTCTACAGTATTACACGAATACGCTTATAAATAAATTACCATTCGCCCAACAAGCGGAGAAGAGCAATTTGAACGCATTCAAAACAAGATTACAAACAGACGTCGAAATAGACCAACTTTTATGTAAAAAATGCAATAGTAAATTTGAACAAATAGGTGAATTATTGGAACACGTCGCTGGACATTACAAATGGTTGCGTTATGCATGTAAACTCTGCAACTTTAAGCATTTCAACTTTGATAAACTCCCGGAACACGTTAAAGTTGTTCACAAACTCAAAGGCGATACTGATTTCTACTATAGTACCGTGAAAGCCATAGACGGGTCGGAAGCCAGCGATTTATCTGCCCCCGTAGAAGAATTAACCGAATCTAATGAAACTAGTCCGGATTCACGACGTCCAAGCAGATGTTCCAGTGATTCCAGCAGATTATCTGATGATAGCTCCTCTAGCAGTACACGAGTCGAAACCGGTTCAAGAAAACGTAAAGCACGACTAGTCAAAAACATCGCCAAGAAGAAAAAGGAAACTGTTGTCATAGGTATTATCAATATTATGTTGTGTTGTAATATTGACCTTATTACATATATTATTTATATTAAATATATTTCTAACTTAAAAAATATTTTTTCATTCCAGATGACAATGAAGAGAGTAAAGACGTTATGCATAAAGGAGTTTTGTTAGGCGAAAACGATTCGTCCTCTAATTCAAAAATATTCGAAGAAAATTCATCAGATTTGGAAGAAGTTGATGAGAAAATAGCAAAGCGCGAAAACATGACATCAGTAGCATGCCGAAGACCTGTTCGTAAGAAAACTAAACGAAAGAACGAAGATTTCGAATACGATCTATCGAATTTGTTAAAAATGGAGGCACAGGGATATCGTGAGTCACAAGTAGTAACACCAAAAACTGCTCCTTCTAAAAAGAAAGTGCAACAAGATGTTAACCCACAATATGAGCCTATCAACAAAGATTGTTGTGGTGCACTTGTAACGATGTCGAGATCCTCAGTAGGAAAAGCTCAAGCACATATGAAGACTGCAACCTTTGCCGTGTTTAACACTTCGAAAGAACCTCGTGTATCAAATATTTTTGTGAGACCTATGGTACCTAAAATTAATAGAGTAGATAAAATATCGCCTAAGAAGGCTGAAAATGAAGAAACTAAAGAAATCTCCAATCCTAGTCCCACTAAAATAATTGACACATCGACTTTATCAAATCTCTGTAAGGAATTGGTGGTAACTAAAGTTGTAAATAAAAAATCTGAGGAAAAAGAAGCAAATTCATCCGCTAACGAAACTCCAAAAGAAACAGATCCGATACCTCAAGTAGATAATAAAACGGTCGGCGACGATAGTAAAGAAAAAAAGGAAGAATCGACTAAAGTATTAGAAGTAGAAACAAAATCTGACGAAAGTGTCTCATCCGAACAAACTAAATCTAATGTGAATGTACCAACGATACTTCCTATAAAATTCCGAAGACAAAGTTTAGAGGTAATACAAAATCCCTTAATAAAGAAAAATATCACGGACTTCACAAAAGCCGGTATGAAAACTAAAATTTTAGTAATCAAACCCATCAATAGGAGCACCGATGGAACAAAAACACTAAAATTCCAAACAATAAAATTGAAAGACCCAAACAAGACTACCACAAAAACTGATGAAATTAAAACCGATCAGGTCGTCGTTGTGAAAGTTCCCAAAGTGGATTGTTCTATAAACAGATCAATATCAGCCAACGACGTTGTGGTACTTGATGAGAATTGTGATGAAAATGAAAACGAAAAAGTTAAAACGAGTTCTTCAAATCCATCAAACCCTACAGGTGAAAACAGTAGTGTTGAAGATCCTAAAAAAGACATTAAAATAGATAATGATATTGACTCGGTCGAAGACAAGCATGAATCAAAATTAATAGAATGTATAGAATTGGAAGAAGCCGTGATGCAATCTGGTTGAAATACAAATGAAAAATATGTATTGCTTGTGCATAATAGTATTAATTTTATGTTGTGAAGTTAATTTTAAGTTGTGTAAAGTTCTACAATTACTTTTAGGTAGAAAAATAAAAGATATTAAGTTTACCTACTTGTATAATTTTATTAACCTCTATTCTCAAGGTCAGATATACTTTCTAATAAGAAACAAATCCTTTTCCACAATCTTATTTTTTACCCTGCTATCTAAATAAAAAAAGAACTAAGGCAATTTACAAAAATCTCTAGTAATTACATAATCATGTAAGTTCTTAAATGCAAATATTAGTTTAGAGGTATATAAAGGTTATTATAAAGTGAATTTTTAATTAAATTTATCAATAACCAAAAATTGTTAACATATAGGTACATAGGTTGAATTTTTATACTTAAACAACTTCTGCAATTGAAAAATTATGAAATATCTGTTACATAATTCTTGATTTAGCAATGTCAGAAATATAAAAAAAGTATGTCAATAATATAATTACATTTTGTTTAATATTTTGTATTGGGGTAATTTAAAATTCTTAGTTTCTGGTAAAGGTAAATAAAACCCAACATTATTACCACTAAGTTTATTTACGAAGTAAGATTACATTTGCTTCCCATACTCGATTTATTCTTACGCGCTCTTGGCCAAGGTTTCAGCTTTAGCTACAACTTCTTCGATGGGTCCAACCATGTAGAATGCAACTTCTGGTAGGTGATCATACTCTCCCTGAAGGATTTGAGAGAATCCCTTGATGGTCTCCTCGAGAGGCACCAGTTTTCCAGCATGGCCGGTGAACACCTCAGCTACCTGGAAGGGCTGGGACAGGAATCTCTGGATCTTACGGGCGCGGGCTACGGTCAGCTTGTCTTCCTCAGACAACTCGTCCATACCCAAGATAGCGATAATGTCCTGAAGTGACTTGTAATCCTGGAGAATCTTCTGGACTCCACGGGCGACATTGTAGTGCTCGGCACCAATGATGTTGGGGTCCATGATACGTGAGGTGGAGTCGAGAGGGTCCACAGCGGGGTAGATACCCAACTCGGCGATGGCACGAGACAGTACAGTAGTGGCGTCCAAGTGAGCGAAGGTGGTGGCTGGGGCAGGGTCAGTCAAGTCATCAGCTGGCACGTAGATGGCCTGCACGGAGGTGATAGAGCCCTTCTTGGTCGTGGTGATACGCTCCTGCATAGTACCCATGTCAGTGGCCAGGGTGGGCTGGTAACCTACGGCGGAGGGAATACGACCCAACAGAGCGGACACCTCTGAACCGGCTTGTGTGAAACGGAAAATGTTGTCAATGAAGAGAAGTACGTCCTGACCTTCCTGGTCACGGAAGTACTCGGCGACGGTCAATCCGGTGAGGGCGACACGGGCACGGGCGCCGGGGGGCTCGTTCATCTGACCGTATACCAGAGCTACCTTAGAAGTCTTGTCCTTGAGGGAGATGACACCAGACTCGATCATCTCGTGGTACAGATCGTTACCTTCACGGGTACGCTCGCCGACACCGGCGAATACGGAGTAACCACCGTGGGCCTTGGCTACGTTGTTAATAAGTTCCATAATAAGTACGGTCTTGCCGACTCCGGCACCGCCGAACAGACCGATCTTACCTCCCTTGGCGTAGGGAGCGAGCAGATCTACTACCTTAATACCGGTGACCAGGATCTCCTGCTGCACGGACATGTCCACGAACTCGGGAGCTTCGGCGTGGATGGCGGCCGTCTTGTCGGTGGGGATGGGGCCACGCTCGTCGATGGGTTCTCCGATCACGTTAATGATACGGCCGAGGGTCTCTGCTCCCACGGGAATACGGATGGGAGAGCCGGAGTCCAGGACGGGCTGTCCGCGGACCAGACCTTCGGTACCGTCCATGGCGATGGTGCGGACGGTGTTCTCACCCAAGTGCTGGGCCACCTCCAGGACCAGGCGGGGAGATCGGTTTTGGACTTCGAGGGCATTTAGAATGGGAGGTAGGTTGTCTTCGAATTGTACGTCCACAACAGCACCGATGACTGCAACTACCTTACCTTGCCCTTTTCCAGAGGCCTTAGCTGCGTAATCCCTCTTGTTTCCAGCAACTGCTGCAACTTTGCCACATTCTGAAAGTACTTTTTCAGCTGCTGTTTTAGCGGCTAAAAAGCCGCTGCCGACCCTGCTTACAGCCCCAAACATTTTATTAAAGTAGCCCCTGGATGAATCGTAATGGGCGACCGCAGAGCAAAATTATGTAACCTATAAAACTTATCTAAGTAGATGTTCAAAGACAGACGACGTACTACAAGCCACAGATAAAAAAGGGATTAAAAAATTAATGCCATAATTCCATTTCTATAGATTTTATAGTAAAAAACTTTAGCTTGTATTTTGTTAAGAAGGATAGTAATAAAAAAACACATTTTTTATTCAATATTAAGTTTCAGAATTTTATCTTATATGATGAAAAAGTTTAAAAATGTAATTATATAACAGTACAGAATAACAAGTATGGATGTATATACATATTGATAATTATTATTAAGCATATAGACGATTAAAGTTATAATTGAAAGAGAAAAAACAAAAAGTAATTATATAATTGACAATCAGCTGTTTTTGATTGTCTGTGCAATTTGTAGAATTCAAAACTAAAAATCCAAAGAGATCTTCCAAATGAAATGGTCTGAAAAATGTATTCGTCTCATTCGCACCTTGTATTGACCTAATTTGACATAATATTTAAAAACATTACGAAAAATTGCAAATAAACTTAAAATGTTCTATTAATATTGCAAATACTATATGGTTTAATTTTTATGTTACGTTAAATATAATGCATTCTGTTAATATATCAATTTAAAAGACTTATCAACCTTTGACAAGACCTTTAATATTAATTAAAATGTTAAGAAACCGTCAACTTTCTCGGGTAAGAATTTAAATCCAACATCAATTGAATTAAATCTGATATGAATCCATAATTATAAATATAGTTTTATTCAGATTTTATGGCGACAAATTGCGTTAAGCAAAACTGATTATGCAAGACCATGCTCGGGTATTCTGAGTCCGAAACCCATAAATTCAAGACAACAATGTACTGCAACGATAAAGGAGAGTTATTTAAAGAAGTTTATGAATGCGGTAGGATGGATGGACCAGGACAGAACGGTAAATTTTATTTGTTATTCTTTTCATAACCTCTAAACTACGACTTCGCGACTATATAATAATTGTGATGTAACTAATTTGCTATCATGTAAACCTATGTTACATTCAAACTATTTTCTTCTACAGCGCCTAAAGCTCACAGGATATGTGTTATATGAAAGTGTACCAGATAAGGTTGCTTATAATGAATGGTTTGAAAAACTTGAACTGCCGGACACATTTGCATCATGGTTCATAGTTACTGAGCTACATGTATGGATGTTGTTAGTCCGTTATATGGCCGTGGATATCTCAACTGCGACTGGTAAAAAGAAGTATGTGAAAGGCGATGGATACTTTGTAAGGAATTGTATTATAGAAGCACAGTGGGCAGACGTCGGAAACAGGATAAAAATGCTAGAGGTAATATAAATTCTCTTATTATATACAAATAACATGTTAGTTGAAGTTGAATTAAAATTATATACATTTACTAGACAAGCAAAAATAATATGAACTAAAAGTTGTATGACATAACTTAAGAACATATATTCTTTTAATTTCCAGGGTGCAAATCCAGCTATAGCTAAGAAGCAAGTAACGGAACTATCGGAACAGTTCCAAGCTGCATTAGTTGGTTACGATGAAGGATTGAGTGATGATAGAGTTCTAGCAGGAGCTATATGGAGAAGGTTCTACTCAATGTCAGATGATGTTAAGGCAGAGAATGTAGAAAAAATTGTACATTTTGTAAGACGTCAGGTATTTATACAGAAAGACTTTTTTTAATTTTTAAAGCAAAGAACATAACTAAGTGAGCCTTTGGGTATATATTCTTGGCATATATGATATATCTGAACTGAAACATAATATTTTTGAACTTCTCTACACAATATGTTTTTGAATCACAACTTAGTACACTTTAAATATTGATGGTAAATAATGAAGACATTTTAAATGGTATTACACTTGATAATATAAATGTTACATGATATAGGCCCTATTAAAAATTTATTTTGTTTAATAAAGAATATTCTTCTACAAAAAAAACTTGTCAAGTATGTAAACTGGACAAAGAAAGACAGAGAACCGTAAAAATATAAATGAACAACTATAACTACATATGGGGACCTCAATAATTAAATAAAAGCTGTCTAAATGCAGAATAAAATCTATTTATTATTATTGTATAAATAATAATGATTGCTGAAGGAATATCTTTCCTTTAGAACTTTCACTAAAATATTGTTCACTTAGTTTTTTTCTACTTTAGCCGGGGTTTTAATCCTTTTAAAGAATATGATTGGGTGAAGACAGTATAGTTCGATGTAATATTATTTATGTATATTGAATATCTCATCTCTGCTAGTTATAATATTTTTAAAACTAAATTCTGCTTATTACCTTACAAAGGTAAAAGTTTGTAAGGTTGTATTTATATAGAAATTTTACAGTGATGTAGGTCAGACATCACAATCACATGAATTATGAAAATGCATTTCGCCTTAACTCACATATGAAAAACTAGATGGCGCTACCTGTTGTTTCATATTAATTTTATTAAAGTACAAATTTTTAAATTTTTCTCTGAACTCAATTCCGATTTTCCGAAAAATCGCGGGCATAAACAAGTAATAAAAGATTTTATTTATTGAAAACTATAAAGTATCTAAATTTGATATAATTGTAAAATACTTCTTGGACAATTGGTCATTAATAACATTAATACTTGATCGTAGTTGCTTAAAATAGTATAATTAATAAATACTAATTTTTGTACTCTACTAAAACAGGAAACAGAGATGTTTGACGGCTTAATTCGTTAATCATTTAATTTCACTTATAAATTATGATAAAAAAAATGCTGATTTAAGGGCCATTGGTGACTCAACTTCAAGAAAGTGTATGTAAAATTAAATTGATCTTTTTTTTCCTTTGAAAAAATATACCCACACTAATCACACATACACTTGTTTTAAGAACAGTATTTTAATTGGAAAATGTTTATTATTTACATAGCCAATAATTAACGTTATTTGTTACCGTATTGTTATCAACATATTATGTTAGAGGGATACTTAGAATAACGATAAACCAATGAAAGATAATATCTTTTAATTTGAGAGTAAACAATATTGATAACAAATTTAATACATGTTCTAATAAATGATTAATATCTATGTATAATATTTTAATACTGTGTTTTTCTTCTTTCAGTTATCGGAATTAGATAAAATTCCAAGCGAATCATTGAGGTGGAAACCTGAATTGAAATGGTTAAGTATATTAGATCATTAGTATAAGGTATAAACTATAATTTGTTTGTTAATAAAATATGTTCGCACAATTTTTGTTTTTTATTTATAATTTTGTTGAAAAATATAAAGAACGCAATTCTTCGCATTTCGAACGCTCCCATAGCACGGTGACAACGGTTTTACAGAGGTTGTCAATTTTGCAATTGTCATTGCAATTCTGCCATCTTTTGTCGCTGAGTTTTGAGTAGAAGGCGTTATATAGATCCAAATATTGAGTCTGGTTGGTAACCATTCTGTATACTAGGTTGTCTAGTGATGCCGGCGATAGATCTGGTATTCCAAAGGAACTTCTGACGTCATATAATTGGAACCAATGAGGACGTCTATTCGGTCTAAGATTTGCTTCCGTAAGATTGTATATGTAGTTTACTATGTTCACAGGTTTCTATAAAAAGATGCATTGAAACATTACTTTGTATATAATATACATTTTAATATGTCCCTAATTAATTAATTCAATTATCATTTTGGATACAAGTTGTGCGGAATCTGTGGAAGGTTGAAATATGTGTAGTTCTGTCTAATAAAAAAAAGTTGCTCATGATTGAACGCAGTATCAAAAGAAATTTCAAATAACTATGCTCCCAAACCATACAAATTGTTTGAAACCAAAACTTGTCGTATAGTAATATTATATTTGAATTTTTCATACAATATGTACATACTTGTATAATAATACTTATTTATCTTACCAAAAAGCCATTCGGTGACAATAATTGTTAACTTCATTTAAAGTGATTAGAACTTTTAGCAAGATAAAAATAGATATAAAGTCCCACGTAAACATTAAAAAAACATACTTAGTTTCCGTAATAAAAACAGATTACAAAGGTGTTTTCATATACTAATATACTCACAAATGTATCGTTATCTATGGTGGCGATTTTGTAATTAATATTGTAATCCGAGTATGTTGTGGAACTTCCTACGCCCCAGGCCATCGCGACGGGGTCCGTTCCGTTATAGAAAATCTTGAATTCATCAGAATGCAAATGACCGTTGAATTCAGCGGTTATCGTTTTTGAAAATCTGAAAATATATTACAAATCTAAAGTCCTTGATCGATTTTTTTCCTACGATAATTGTGTGGAATTTTATGGCCATGGAAAAATGCAAAAAGTACCAAACAGTCAATGTATTTAATTAGATTTATGATTTAATTTTTTATTAAAAAAGGGAGCGATGATAGCACAAGTTATATTACCAAAAAGAGAAATGGTCATAAATAAAAGTTCTGGAATCTTGTAGTTAAATTATATATTTCAAGATTTAATTCGCGTATTTCTTTTGTTAACTGTATGGTTTGAAAATTAACTTTGTAGTTTTATTTATTTTAATTTATATAACATTTTTGAAGTAATCGGTATAGGTATTTCGTTTTTCATCCAATAGCCTGCGTTACTAATATTACGTGCAAAGATTTGTGAATGCGAAACGTATTAATGATGGTCAACGATGCTATTTTGAGGTAAGCGTAACGTAAGGTACCTACTGGTATGATAAGCAAGACGATACGAAATTCCTGTAGTTCCTCAATAAAATAATGTTACTATCTAGGTTCTGATTACCAATTTAACCACGGTAAAAACAGAAAACACAAATATATAATTTAAATTTCAATATAGCTTATAGGTCTTTTTACAAAACATTAACAAAAAGTACTCCGCAGCCTTTTTCACAACAATCTTTTCAATAGAATATTAGTGAAACAATAAGTTTGAAGTTAAATGTAGCTGCTTTAAGATTTACCTATATACCTACAGCAATCTTATTCGTAAAATAATCGTGAAAGTCGGGAAACGATAAAATATATTTCAAGACTTTTGTAATAAAATAAATATTACCTGTTAACAATTCTATTATATTCCCTTGTCCAGGTGTACATAAGGTCATGAACTCCTGGCGGAATGTGAGACAGTATGTGAACCTTCTCTCCGGCGATTTCTGCTTTGTATAATTCTGATACTAACCATTCTAAATGTCTCTTTGCTTCCAATGGATCATAAACCAGCCACCTAATTTAGAAAAAATATAAAAATGTAGGAAAAACACTGTTTTTGTCTGTATATATCTTTATGTGTATTAAAAAAGTTTTTGCACTATTTACAATTAATTAATTAATTGTAGTACATACTTTCTAAAAGTTAGACTATTTATAACTCCAGAACCGCTGTAGGGATATGGTAGAAAATTGGTAGCTTAGAACCAGGAGACAAACATAGGATAATTAATTCTGTTTGATCGAGAAAAAGTTAAAATATTCCAAAATATGGTTATTTACGGAATCTAGGGCGAAATGGAGTTCGACCGGCCAGCTAAATTCGAAATTAACGCGGACAAAGTCACGGATAAAAAATAGTTAAGCATAAATATCATCTCACCAATTGTTTCTATATGCAATGTTGCTGTTAATGGAAATTACTCTTAATCCTGGTTTAACGAGTCTCGTGAACGCTCCTTTATCCAAAATAGTTATCTTGGCTTCCTCTGTTAAGTAGTGGTCCCATTTTTCAATCAAGGCCTCGTAGAGCCAGGTCGTATTAAGTTTATCCCCTTTGATAGAACTCGGTGCAAATCTGTATTATATTTGGGAAGCGATAAAAACGAAATCCAAAGTGATACCTAGATTATAGCCTTATATTTCAAAGGTTACATGATATGTACCTAATTAACAAAACCTTATCTATATGAGTGTTCAATACTCAATCATTATAAGTCAACCAATAGTCTAGATACGCTGCCGCGTGTCAAGACAGATTCAAGTAAAACAAATTGTTTAGCCAACACCAAGTGCAACACTAACATTACACGAACCAGTTGGTACCCCTTTTCATTATTTTATAACTCAAAACTTCTTAAACATTAACCCATAAAACTACGTCTGTTTCATGCTATCCATAAGGATTTGGCATATTTAATGTTTTCTTGGCGTTGTGGTATTTAATGTAAACCAACAATCATTCGTTATTAACTATAATTAATTTATCAACACTAAAAAGAGAACGCTTGAGGGAGGCATTTAGACTTAAGTTTCAATTAAATTCGATAAGTTTTAACACTTATATATACTTGTTAAGTATTTACAATTAAACTTTACTCATAACTTTTTAAACAGACTTGTCTCAAATTAATTTAATTTTAATTAGAAGGAAGTATGTACGCTTATATATTTTTTATTATTATCAGGAAATTTTAAGTCCAGTTCAGTTTTTACGGGAAAACAGCACTTTTCTTTTATCACGATAATTGTCAATAAAAGGTACTCACTGGTTTGTTGGTTGAGATTCATGGTTTCCTATACAAGGCACAATCAACACATCGTCCCCAAATTCTTTTCTCATTTTATCAATAATGTAACGGTTTACATCATTAATCATTTCAAAAGTCGTTTCCCATATGTGATGATCAATATTATCACCTATATAATAAACTACATCTATATCCTAAAAATATTCACAATGTCAATTTATAAAACAATTATATTTATTATTATTAATTATTTAACATTTGTTCCTAAATATACCCTTATTTACTTCTTATTACGATTACTACTTATTACAAGTGTGAATAATTTAAATGCCTGTCTCATGAAATTATCGAAAAGTCACATCATAGTTCATTAAGAGTGTAATTTTAATAATACTTTCCATCAAAAAGACTACTTTTATTTCGTTTCTTTGAACTTATTTACACGTCTTCTACTTATTTAACGTAAGGAATGAAAAAGATTTATTATCTATGGGCAAAGATTTTAGAAAATTATTTTTTGAGCATTTTGAAAAAGCTGATATTAGCATTATGGGAAAAAACTTCTAACAAGTTCAGGTAAAGCATTAATCAAGTAAATTTATTGTTACCAGTTAGTTCTTACCTTATGTGCGGAAGCTATTCTTTCAATAACATCGTCGTACGCCCATATAGGGCTATCACAATTCCTATAATCTCCCCAATAACCGGCTGGGGGCGAAATGTTGTTATTTCTTGACACAATATTTACACCTTTAATACGCGTGGCTGCGTCTAGATCTAGCATGTATGTATCGCCTACATTTGATAGACTTCTGTCGACATAAGTCTCTAGTAAATCATAATTGTAGGTCAATGTCCGTGGAGTTTGTCCCTTCCTGCAACAAGTTGGATCATCGCAGTCTGCGACACCATTTGGTTCATAAAACGGATCTATGTGAGCATCCGTGATTAAAGCAATTTTTAGTGGCTTCGAGTTCGACTGGGGAAACTATAAACAAAACACAACAATCACAAACTCTCATTAAATAAATTTAAATCAACCGACTATGAGTGAAGTTTCTGTTATGGATTTGTTACCTTGGTCTCAATAAATTCTGAAGGTTCTGGTAAATCCACAGTCCACTCAAATCTGGGATCATTGGAAACACAAGAGTTTGGATTAGTGGCAGTTTGAAAAAGTAATCCACAAAACGTCCTTGAGGCTACGCCTGGAGTATTTTTTATTATATAAATTATAATAGGCTAAAAATATCAAAACATTCTATATTAGGTAACTGTGATAATGATGCAGCAAAATAATTCAAATCTAGATTAACAATAAAACACTTGAGATAAACAGTTACTGATTTCATATAAATATTTACCAAATTCAAATCGATAATACCACTGCATGATTTCGGGCTCACGATTCCAAGAGTGGAGCATATTGTGGTTATGGCATTTATAAGATTCTGCTCCGATTGGTTTTCTTCAACCATGTCTATGAGTGCTGAAAATATACTGCGGCAAAGTAGGCAGTTCAGGGTCTGTTAATAAAATATATACTGATATAGTAATTCAATCTTAAGACTATTCATCTTTCAACATATGCATCTATGTAAATAGTTTTGTTAAGTAGAATCTTTGGGAACGATTGTAAAGTAATATCTTCAAACGATTTTCTCGCTATAACTGATTAGACGGATACATTTAAATACTCACTGTTCTAGTATGAGTTCCCTGTGTTTTCATCAGGTACGTTGGTCTATAAATATGAAAAACATCGTTTATCACGCTTAAATCATTTTCCGAGGCCTGGTTTCTTAATACTTTCTTAAACAGACCAGTCAACTCATCTAAAAACGAAATATAGGTAACTTTAAAAATAGTTTTGGTTATAAATAATGTAACAAAATATTTTGTATATTTTATTCAATAATTTCTAATATATAATATTTCAATAGAATAATATATTTATCACACATTCTTGTTACCTTCAGATAGAAGTCTCGCAGATAATCCATTGACTAAAACTAAAATTACGAAAAACACTTTCATCTTAACCGAATATTGAAGAACAGTGAGAGATAAGTTTCACAACATTCGTATATAAACACGACGAGCAACTATTCAATAATTTGTAATGACATACGAGATCACGCTTCGCACGCTAATTCATATCGAATTAATTTAATACAGATATAACATTTTATCTTTTTAATCCATTTTTAATAATGGACATAATAGAATTTTTATTAAAAACAAAACAAAGGCAGCATTTATTTATTTTAATAATATTTTATTCCTTGCATGAATGCCACTTGTCATTGTTTCAACCTCCAAATAAAATAATTACAATCAATAACTATGGGATTCATAGCATCTTTTGCAATCATTGGATGGTTGTGTATTTTAATCAAAATTTTATATGAAATAGTTTTTACTTAAGTTTTTAACTAGTTACAAAAAGTTTCCTATGTGTTACTTCAGTAAGTACTATAGTTATGGATAAAATTTCAAATAATCTCAAATATGTTTGAGATGCATCTGCTTCAGCTGTCAGTCAACGTTTCTTCAAAATCGGTCCAGCCATCTCTGTATCTTATCCTTTTAGTAAGACTTAAAGATTAACATTTAATATTACAAACAGAAACTCCATTTTATTTATTTGCGTATATAATTTTATGCGCGTTCCTTCATAAGTATAACGGTGGGAGTGACAAAATCCATCCCAGTCACTGAAGGGGTTCATCAAGGTTCAGTTCTAAGTCCATTCTTGTTCAGTCTAGTGCTGGATACACTCTCTAAAGATGCTCAACAAAAAGCTTCATGGACTTTCATATACGCAGACGATGTAGCGATATGTACACCAAGTCGCCAAGATCTGGAAGTGCTAGGAAAGAGCAACTACAAGCAGGAGGATTGGTACTAAGTGTAGCTAAGACCTAGTACAATGAATGTAATGTCTCTATCCTCGCACTGTCTCAATTATAGTGATTGATGGCCAGGTGGTCCAACAGTGCGACGAATATAAATACCTGGGTAGCATGATAAACAAATTCGGTAGTCTAGAAAGCAACCTGCAACACCCTACATTCACTGCTTGGATGAAGCTGCGCGAGCTTACTGGAGTCACATACGACACGAGGATGTCCATTAAGCTCAAAGGACTAGTTTATAACTCCATAATAAGACCAGTTCTGATATATGGAAGTGAGACGTGGCGAGTATCAAAAAAGCATGTTAATTGCATTTGTGTTATGGAGATGAAAATGTTAAGGTAGATGTGCGGAGTGACGAGGCTCGACAAGATCTTTAACGTGCACGTGCGTGGTAGCCTCGGGATATGCGACATCGCTGAAAAATTGCAAGAAAACCGGCTACGATGTTAGGGGCATGTTAAAAGAAGACCACCTCAATGCATAGACATTAGAACGCCTAACTTCACTTTACCTGGCAAGCGAATAAGGGAAAGACCTAGATTGCGGTGGTTGAGCGTTGTCACGAATGACATGAATAACTGCGATCTGAATGAGGAAGATGTCCATAATAGAGCGAAGTTTAAGAAAAATGACAGGAAAGCGGAACCCATCACAAGACGGGATTAACGCTAAGAAGAAGTAGAAGATAATCCAAATGCTGGTGCGTTTTTAGAAATTATTCCCTAAAGAAGTATTAACAGTTGATTAATTTATTAACTGTGGATTAATTTATTAACAGTGGATTAATTTATTAACAGTGGGTTAATTTATTAACAGTTGGTAAATTGATTAACAGTGGGTTAATTTATTAACAGTGGATTAATTCATTAACAGTTGGTTAATTTATTAACAGTGGATTAATTCATTAACAGTCGGTTATTTTATTAACAGTGGATTAATTAATTAACAGTGGATTAATTCATTAACAGTGGGTTAATTTATTAACAGTGGATTAATTCATTAACAGTTGGTTAATTTATTAACAGTGGATTAATTCATTAACAGTTGGTTAATTTATTAACAGTTGGTTAATTTATTAACAGTTGGTTAAGTTATTAACAGTTGGTTACTTGATTAACAGTGGGTTAATTTGTTAACAGTGGATTAATTCATTAACAGTTGGTTAATTTATTAACAGTTGGTTTATTTATTAACAGTGGGTTAATTTATTAACAGTTGGTTAATTTATTAACAGTTGGTTAATTTATTAACAGTTGGTTAATTTATTAACAGTGGGTTAATTTATTAACAGTGGATTAATTCATTAACAGTTGGTTAATTTATTAACAGTGGGTTAATTTATTAACAGTGGATTAGTTCATTAACAGTTGGTTAATTTATTAACAGTTGGTTTATTTATTAACAGTGGGTTAATTTATTAACAGTTGGTTAATTTATTAACAGTTGGTTTATTTATTAACAGTGGGTTAATTTATTAACAGTGGATTAATTCATTAACAGTTGGTTAATTTATTAACAGTTGGTTTATTTATTAACAGTTGGTTAATTTATTAACAGTGGATTAATTCATTAACAGTTGGTTAATTTATTAACAGTTGGTTAATTTATTAACAGTGGATTAATTCATTAACAGTTGGTTAATTTATTAACAGTGGATTAATTCATTAACAGTGGGTTAATTTGTTAACAGTGGATTAATTCATTAACAGTTGGTTAATTTATTAACAGTGGATTAATTCATTAACAGTTGGTTAATTTATTAACAGTGGATTAATTCATTAACAGTTGGTTAATTTATTAACAGTTGGTTAATTTATTAACAGTTGGTTAATTTATTAACAGTGGGTTAATTTATTAACAGTGGATTAATTCATTAACAGTTGGTTAATTTATTAACAGTGGGTTAATTTATTAACAGTGGATTAGTTCATTAACAGTTGGTTAATTTATTAACAGTTGGTTTATTTATTAACAGTGGGTTAATTTATTAACAGTTGGTTAATTTATTAACAGTTGGTTTATTTATTAACAGTGGGTTAATTTATTAACAGTTGGTTATTTTATTAACAGTGGGTTAATTTATTAACAGTGGATTAATTCATTAACAGTTGGTTAATTTATTAACAGTTGGTTATTTTATTAACAGTGGGTTAATTTATTAACAGTGGATTAATTCATTAACAGTTGGTTAATTTATTAACAGTTGGTTAATTTATTAACAGTTGGTTAATTTATTAACAGTGGGTTAATTTATTAACAGTGGATTAATTCATTAACAGTTGGTTAATTTATTAACAGTGGGTTAATTTATTAACAGTGGATTAGTTCATTAACAGTTGGTTAATTTATTAACTGTGGATTAATTTATTAACAGTGGATTAATTTATTAACAGTGGGTTAATTTATTAACAGTTGGTAAATTGATTAACAGTGGGTTAATTTATTAACAGTGGATTAATTCATTAACAGTTGGTTAATTTATTAACAGTGGATTAATTCATTAACAGTCGGTTATTTTATTAACAGTGGATTAATTAATTAACAGTGGATTAATTCATTAACAGTGGGTTAATTTATTAACAGTGGATTAATTCATTAACAGTTGGTTAATTTATTAACAGTGGATTAATTCATTAACAGTTGGTTAATTTATTAACAGTTGGTTAATTTATTAACAGTTGGTTAAGTTATTAACAGTTGGTTAATTGATTAACAGTGGGTTAATTTGTTAACAGTGGATTAATTCATTAACAGTTGGTTAATTTATTAACAGTTGGTTTATTTATTAACAGTGGGTTAATTTATTAACAGTTGGTTAATTCATTAACAGTTGGTTAATTTATTAACAGTTGGTTTATTTATTAACAGTTGGTTAATTTATTAACAGTTGGTTAATTTATTAACAGTGGATTAATTCATTAACAGTTGGTTAATTTATTAACAGTTGGTTAATTTATTAACAGTTGGTTAATTCATTAACAGTGGGTTAATTTATTAACAGTGGATTAATTCATTAACAGTTGGTTAATTTATTAACAGTGGATTAATTCATTAACAGTTGGTTAATTTATTAACAGTTGGTTAATTTATTAACAGTTGGTTAATTTATTAACAGTGGGTTAATTTATTAACAGTGGATTAATTCATTAACAGTTGGTTAATTTATTAACAGTGGGTTAATTTATTAACAGTGGATTAATTCATTAACAGTTGGTTAATTTATTAACAGTGGGTTAATTTATTAACAGTGGATTAGTTCATTAACAGTTGGTTAATTTATTAACAGTTGGTTTATTTATTAACAGTGGGTTAATTTATTAACAGTTGGTTAATTTATTAACAGTTGGTTTATTTATTAACAGTGGGTTAATTTATTAACAGTTGGTTATTTTATTAACAGTGGGTTAATTTATTAACAGTGGATTAATTCATTAACAGTTGGTTAATTTATTAACAGTGGGTTAATTTATTAACAGTGGATTAGTTCATTAACAGTTGGTTAATTTATTAACAGTTGGTTTATTTATTAACAGTGGGTTAATTTATTAACAGTTGGTTAATTTATTAACAGTTGGTTAATTTATTAACAGTGGATTAATTCATTAACAGTTGGTTAATTTATTAACAGTGGGTTAATTTATTAACAGTGGATTAGTTCATTAACAGTTGGTTAATTTATTAACAGTTGGTTTATTTATTAACAGTGGGTTAATTTATTAACAGTTGGTTAATTTATTAACAGTTGGTTAATTTATTAACAGTTGGTTAATTGATTAACAGTGGGTTAATTTGTTAACGGTGGATTAATTCATTAACAGTTGGTTAATTTATTAACAGTTGGTTAATTTATTAACAGTTGGTTAATTTATTAACAGTTGGTTAATTGATTAACAGTGGGTTAATTTGTTAACGGTGGATTAATTCATTAACAGTTGGTTAATTTATTAACAGTTGGTTTATTTATTAACAGTGGGTTAATTTATTAACAGTTGGTTAATTTATTAACAGTTGGTTAATTTATTAACAGTTGGTTAATTTATTAACAGTGGATTAATTCATTAACAGTTGGTTAATTTATTAACAGTGGATTAATTCATTAACAGTGGGTTAATTTATTAACAGTGGATTAATTCATTAACAGTTGGTTAATTTATTAACAGTGGATTAATTCATTAACAGTGGGTTAATTTGTTAACAGTGGATTAATTCATTAACAGTTGGTTAATTTATTAACAGTGGATTAATTCATTAACAGTTGGTTAATTTATTAACAGTGGATTAATTCATTAACAGTTGGTTAATTTATTAACAGTTGGTTAATTTATTAACAGTTGGTTAATTTATTAACAGTGGGTTAATTTATTAACAGTGGATTAATTCATTAACAGTTGGTTAATTTATTAACAGTTGGTTAATTTATTAACAGTTGGTTAATTTATTAACAGTTGGTTAATTTATTAACAGTGGGTTAATTTATTAACAGTGGATTAATTCATTAACAGTTGGTTAATTTATTAACAGTGGGTTAATTTATTAACAGTGGATTAGTTCATTAACAGTTGGTTAATTTATTAACAGTTGGTTTATTTATTAACAGTGGGTTAATTTATTAACAGTTGGTTAATTTATTAACAGTTGGTTTATTTATTAACAGTGGGTTAATTTATTAACAGTTGGTTATTTTATTAACAGTGGGTTAATTTATTAACAGTGGATTAGTTCATTAACAGTTGGTTAATTTATTAACAGTTGGTTAATTTATTAACAGTTGGTTAATTTATTAACAGTTGGTTAATTTATTAACAGTGGATTAATTCATTAACAGTTGGTTAATTTATTAACAGTGGGTTAATTCATTAACAGTTGGTTAATTTATTAACAGTTGGTTAATTTATTAACAGTTGGTTAATTTATTAACAGTTGGTTAATTTATTAACAGTGGGTTAATTTATTAACAGTGGATTAATTCATTAACAGTTGGTTAATTTATTAACAGTGGGTTAATTTATTAACAGTGGATTAGTTCATTAACAGTTGGTTAATTTATTAACAGTTGGTTAATTTATTAACAGTGGGTTAATTTATTAACAGTGGATTAATTCATTAACAGTTGGTTAATTTATTAACAGTGGGTTAATTTATTAACAGTGGATTAGTTCATTAACAGTTGGTTAATTTATTAACAGTTGGTTTATTTATTAACAGTGGGTTAATTTATTAACAGTTGGTTAATTTATTAACAGTGGGTTTATTTATTAACAGTGGGTTAATTTATTAACAGTTGGTTATTTTATTAACAGTGGGTTAATTTATTAACAGTGGATTAGTTCATTAACAGTTGGTTAATTTATTAACAGTTGGTTAATTTATTAACAGTTGGTTAATTTATTAACAGTTGGTTAATTTATTAACAGTGGATTAATTCATTAACAGTTGGTTAATTTATTAACAGTGGGTTAATTCATTAACAGTTGGTTAATTTATTAACAGTTGGTTATTTTATTAACAGTGGGTTAATTTATTAACAGTGGATTAATTCATTAACAGTTGGTTAATTTATTAACAGTTGGTTAATTTATTAACAGTTGGTTAATTTATTAACAGTGGGTTAATTTATTAACAGTGGATTAATTCATTAACAGTTGGTTAATTTATTAACAGTGGGTTAATTTATTAACAGTGGATTAGTTCATTAACGGTTGGTTAATTTATTAACAGTTGGTTTATTTATTAACAGTGGGTTAATTTATTAACAGTTGGTTAATTTATTAACAGTTGGTTAATTTATTAACAGTTGGTTAATTGATTAACAGTGGGTTAATTTGTTAACGGTGGATTAATTCATTAACAGTTGGTTAATTTATTAACAGTTGGTTAATTTATTAACAGTTGGTTAATTTATTAACAGTTGGTTAATTGATTAACAGTGGGTTAATTTGTTAACGGTGGATTAATTCATTAACAGTTGGTTAATTTATTAACAGTTGGTTAATTTATTAACAGTTGGTTAATTTATTAACAGTTGGTTAATTGATTAACAGTGGGTTAATTTGTTAACGGTGGATTAATTCATTAACAGTTGGTTAATTTATTAACAGTTGGTTTATTTATTAACAGTGGGTTAATTTATTAACAGTTGGTTAATTTATTAACAGTTGGTTAATTTATTAACAGTTGGTTAATTTATTAACAGTTGGTTAATTTATTAACAGTGGATTAATTCATTAACAGTTGGTTAATTTATTAACAGTGGATTAATTCATTAACAGTGGGTTAATTTATTAACAGTGGATTAATTCATTAACAGTTGGTTAATTTATTAACAGTGGATTAATTCATTAACAGTGGGTTAATTTGTTAACAGTGGATTAATTCATTAACAGTTGGTTAATTTATTAACAGTGGATTAATTCATTAACAGTTGGTTAATTTATTAACAGTGGATTAATTCATTAACAGTTGGTTAATTTATTAACAGTTGGTTAATTTATTAACAGTTGGTTAATTTATTAACAGTGGGTTAATTTATTAACAGTGGATTAATTCATTAACAGTTGGTTAATTTATTAACAGTGGGTTAATTTATTAACAGTGGATTAGTTCATTAACAGTTGGTTAATTTATTAACAGTTGGTTTATTTATTAACAGTGGGTTAATTTATTAACAGTTGGTTAATTTATTAACAGTTGGTTTATTTATTAACAGTGGGTTAATTTATTAACAGTTGGTTATTTTATTAACAGTGGGTTAATTTATTAACAGTGGATTAGTTCATTAACAGTTGGTTAATTTATTAACAGTTGGTTAATTTATTAACAGTTGGTTAATTTATTAACAGTTGGTTAATTTATTAACAGTGGATTAATTCATTAACAGTTGGTTAATTTATTAACAGTGGGTTAATTTATTAACAGTGGATTAGTTCATTAACAGTTGGTTAATTTATTAACAGTTGGTTTATTTATTAACAGTGGGTTAATTTATTAACAGTTGGTTATTTTATTAACAGTGGGTTAATTTATTAACAGTGGATTAGTTCATTAACAGTTGGTTAATTTATTAACAGTTGGTTTATTTATTAACAGTGGGTTAATTTATTAACAGTTGGTTATTTTATTAACAGTGGGTTAATTTATTAACAGTGGATTAGTTCATTAACAGTTGGTTAATTTATTAACAGTTGGTTTATTTATTAACAGTGGGTTAATTTATTAACAGTTGGTTATTTTATTAACAGTTGGTTAATTTATTAACAGTGGGTTAATTTACTAACAGTGGATTAATTTATTAACAGTTGGTTAATTTATTAACAGTGGATTAATTTATTAACAGTGGATTAATTCATTAACAGTTGGTTAATTTATTAACAGTGGATTAATTTATTAACTGTGTATTAATTTATTATCTGTGGATTTATTTATTTACAGTTGTATATTATTATATTAGTTAGTGACGTAATCATCATTCTAGATTCTAGACTCCCCTACGCCCCATGTCATCCGAAATAAGCAAAGCGAAGACCCCACTTCCCCCCCCCCCCCCTCCATAGTGCTTTATACGTAATACTTGAACGACCCCTAATATGAAAAATAGATTTGCAGATTGGAATACGCCATAACTACAATCGTAGACGTGCTCAGTTTACTTTAATTACAGCAGATATGCCCTTGTCCGTAGATTTTCCAAGAATGTATGAGAACGCCAGAGCCAGCAATAACCCCTCCAGCTTGTGGATTTGAAAAATGATTTTATTGCGATTCTATAACAAATATATATATTTTTTTAACAAATATACAAACAAATGTTCTAAGTATATGTATATAGATATGTATATGTGTATGTCATATCTTCGCCACTTCAGACGAACTCATGAAATCGACGCTTGAATCGCTGTTATCAATGAATTATCGCAATGAACTTGGTTTGGCCGACACGTGATGACGTGACACAGAATAAATCTACACCACAAACTCTTCATTAGACCCACGAAAGAAGTATGGCATGGGCGTGTAACAGCTATCAAGATACAAAATGGATTAACAAAGGTGTTTGAATTGATAACTAATTAGATATTAGTTCCTGTATCAGAAGATTGCATCGGCGAATAATAGATTGTAAATAGTTTTGAATTATAATTACTTTGACACTATCGTGTGTGAAGATTAATTAGTGAAACTAATTGTAATTAGTAAGACTTAGCGTCAAATACGGAACTAAAAATTAATCTATGGTTTTGCATAAACAGATAAGAATTGAAGAAAATTATTAATCCATATTATATTTTCAATCGTTTATCGGTTTAGCGATGGAAATGGCTGTATTTATTCGTTACAACCCGTAGTTATCACGATGTTAAAATTTATAAGCATGAGATAAAAGTAGTCTTCAGGTTATGTAGCTTTTCCTCAATTAATTATTCCTTCAACGATAAGCATTAAAGTAATTGATTTTAAAATATGGCTAGAATATAAATTTATTGATGAAATAATAATCAATTCCTATTACATATTTTAACAATTAGGACAAAAGAAACACTAAGTATAGGTTCTTCGTAAATTTTTGTATGGTAGCAGTGGGAGAAAGATACCTCTTTTAACAGTTTAATTTTTAACTCTCTACAAGCTACTAAAAGACTTGGACCCGTACAGAACTATTCATTCTTAGAAAGTACTTCGAAGGCAGCCCTAGTAGGCTCGTTTCTAATTTAGTTCAGTAGAGAGAGGAGCTTGGACGGTGGAGGTGAGCGTATAACACGCGTTAGATAGGGATTCCTTAAACCTACACCTGGGTCGCAAGTCCCAGTTACTGTTGAAGCTCCTCTCTTTACAACTATGGACCCGACACCCGCACGGTGAATCCATTAAACGCTAAGAGGTTCTCTTACAGAAATAAAACTCATATATATATAAACATTGTATTTATATACATATAATTACAATACATGTATATTGTATGTTATCAAACGTCAGTCATATCAACATCTTCTATGACGAGGTCATCCAACATTTCAGCCAGAGTAATCCGCGGTAGTGAGGGATCTATCTCGTCTGTGTCAATCGGTATTTTATTACTATCTTTGAAGATATTTATATTCTGACGAAGAGCTGGATCTTCTTCAAGGTCATCCAAGAATTCATTGTAGTCGCTGGAAAAATAATTGATAGTTAAAATCTTATAATGACAATTGATACTAAACCATTTATTAATGCGTGTATTGAAAGTTTCTCATTCGATATAGATTAAAAAGTGTATCATAATTAATTCATGATTTACAAATAAAGAAAAAAAAAAAGAAAATATATGAAATAAGTCGTAATCAAGCAGTTGTTTTTATGAATGTTGTTTTATCAAGCGGAAAATAAAAACTCCTATCGGAAATTAACTTGTCTAATATTTCTCTTATCAAAAAAGCCATTTTTATATTATTTTTTTTATATTTTTTTCAAAAACTTATACCAAAATATAAACTGATGATTCAATATTTTTTTGTATAAAAAAGACCGCGCTCAGTAATACAGATACATATAGTGATAATAAAGTTCTTCAAATGTCATGTCGATAAACTTCATGTAAAATTATTGTTCTACAGATAACTTTGAAAAATCGAAGTAGTTTTACACACAACTAATTCGTGTATATTATCGACAAAGAAACATCTTATGATAAAATGCAATTTGATTGTAATAATTCAAGATTTTTCAATATGAAATTCAATATTTCACATTTACTGTCAGTTGTTATGCCACAAAAACTATATTAATACAAGACGGGTATAAATGACTTAAAACAAAATCGCTAATGACAAAAACCTTTCCAATAAAACTATATAATACGCTCTTACAGAGATGTTCATTGTAACTTTTTATAATAACTGATTTAAAGATATTTTTTGCACTATCAGTAACAATCTGCTATTAAATAAAACACTGAAAATATTCCAGTGAAAATTTTCGTTGGTAAACTTCGCATATTATACTATCTTCAGACGCACGGTAAGTATGGCGACTAGAAGTCATCTTGTGGGTACACGGTAAAAGTAAAAAAAAAGAAATTTCTATATGAATCACGTTAATATTAAATTGTATGTAATCAATGAATTTGATATCATCAACAAATATTATCTACAATAATACATTGGGCGTGTTGATTACGTGATATCAAGCGTTGAGCTGCTTTGGACCGAGACGTGTTAATCCCGGTAATTAAAAACAAAACACGATATGAATAACATAAAAAAATATGTTCCTATCTTTAAAAAAGTATAAAAGTTAAAATGTAAGTATTTAAATTAAGAATACATACATAATTTAAAATCAATATTCAACAGCTGCGAATTAGGAAGAGTGGATCTTTATTAATCGTGAATCATCTTTTAAAAAAAGAAGTATTGCCGTAATGAATATATACTACAAAAAAAAAATCTGTCATAATATCAAGTACATTTCTTAAGGAAAGTAAGTACTTAATGTAAAATAACTAGTAAATGATTCTTCAAGAGTATGACAAAGTACAGTGCTTTAACCAAACTACTTTTTGGTGTCAAACTGTCAATACATGCTGCTACTATTTACAGAAACGTTACATATATGTTAAAGGCATTATACATTCTATTATAAAACCTATCACTATTTAATCTTTATATACAAAAATCTTCAAGCAGTTTTTGTTAATTGTGATATCATTTTTATGTATAGTAGTTTCAATCTTCATACAAAATCTGACTCTACTTTCCTTTACATCTTAAACTATATGCTAGTTAGAAAGATCTGTGCGTTTGGTATTTAGTTTATGGATAAAACCACTTTTTAATTAATTATGAACTACATAGTCCATTACTATCATCTGATGTGAGTACAAATGTAGATATATAAGATAAAAATAGCCAGTTTTATATGTCCATATAATGTTATAATATGTATATGTGTGTTTGTATGTACTATATATAAATACTAACTCGTCTGTAGTCGATCCGTGTTCATGCATGTGTTTAAGTTTCCAGGCTCTGGCTCGTCTTCTTGCAGCTCTTTCTCCGTAATGTTTCTTAACGAGATACACATCTGGTATTATATCACGGTCCAGCTTGTCTAGATTGTCATCATTGACGTTAGATTCGCCGAGGTTATAGCTGAAAATTTATTATATACATGTTATACTACTAATAACAAAATTGCAATAAAAAAATGCCCCTAATCTTAATCAGCAACTGCAGATAAAAGAAATATACTATATTGTACAATTATTATACTTTTTAATATATATCCACTCATAAATTACTCGAAACTAATATTAAGAATAATGTATAATTTCATTCGATTTAATTTTTTGTTAAATTGGTTTGAACGCCATCTATCGGTAATGAAGAGGAACATTATGGTTAAACTGCTATTAGCGCCGCTTTCAAACCAATATAACCATTGGCAGTACTACTTACTGCTCATATACTCATACTAGTATGTTTAGTCAAACCCAGTGCTGTGCACAAGAAATATTTGTTTGTGTATGAAAAAAGCTACGCATATGTAGACTTTGAAAGGCATTAACTGTCATAACTTCATTTATTTAAGAGTCATCAAAACTATACCATTAAAAGTAACAAACTTTTTCAACTATATATTAATTAATTTTTTGTTTCTGTTAATGTGTGTTGATTCTTATCTGAGAGTAAGTAACTAAATCTTAATTATCAAATTGGTGATTTTATTAATAGTTACATGATTTTATTAATAATGAGTATTTGGCCTGCCCTACTCAAAATCTCTTTGTATGCCTCTAATCTTAGTAAATGACGTTTATAAATGTATAACATGTAACACATTTGTTTTTAAATAGATTATACATATAGATTTTTTATGTATATACAGGGTGACTGGTGAATTACTATCAATATTTAAGGAGAATACTCGGTACATGATTCTCATTCGAATTATGTAAAAAAAATAGGTACTTAATTTTTGACCAAATTTCCGTATAAATAAATATAGTGTGGACACGTTCCAAGTGTGGATGCGTGCGGCGGCGTGCTGATACAACAACACGCCGCCGCGCGCGACGGTGTGTGTGTATGAGTATACCTAATCTGTAGGGTGTTCACACGATGCGTAATTAATTACATAACTTTTGGTTAACTTTACTTAGAAGTTTATTAATATTTATGTTATATTAATTTTTATTTTGTCATATATGATCGTCAAATATCACGTCCTCAAATATCGATAGTAATTCACCAGTCACCCTGTATAATTAGAACATTTGCTTACCCCAAAACTGCATCTCCAGGCTTAAGTATATGACCCAAATGTGTTCTTGTGTGTACTGGATTCACATCTAGTCCAAGATCACTGGCTTTCACAACCCAAACATCGGCCACAACATGTTTGTTTGATACCATGCCTTGACCTGGGAATGTTTTCTTTTCCTGTATAAAAAAATACAAATAACATTACGTTTTTTAAAACATTGGTAATCTAATCAGAATAAAGGTTTCATAAGAATCTTTCAACTCAAAGTTAATATTAATATTATGAAATGAAATAGTTTCATTTAATGTGAATTGCATGTAAATGTTACATTCACTGCAATACATTCTACTATAATGGTACTAGTTATTGAATAATACTGTTAATATGTGTAATACAACAAAATGTTAATTACACATTGTGTATTTTTATTTTTACATTAAATCAATAATTTCATATTGCATGGCACTAAAGCTTAATAATAAAGTAACTAGATACAATATACCAGAGGTTGAACATTTTTATGTTGATTGTGTATGATTATTTTATTACTTAATGTAAATGAGTAAATTTTTATATTTGCAGTTGTTATTCCACCACTTAATTGAGTAATTATTAACTTAGGTGTTCATTGTAATTTTAATTTAGATTGAATACATTATGTAAACTGTAGTTGCACTTATGACTACTTCAAATATTGATATTGTGTTTACATATAGGGCAAAATGCTATTTGCTTGTTGTTTATTTAACCATATAAAATTTAAATAGAATAATATGATAAAGTATTAATTCTAGAAAGTTCTAATACAATCTACTCACATGTTCTTTCAATATATCAATATCCATCACAATGTATTCAACAAGTTGTTTCGGATTACAGATGGCATTAAACGGATACCTCCAATACATTGTTGACGAAAGATCACACACTGAAACATTAACAATATATTACAGTACAGCTTAGAAACAAAAGAAAAATATTAAATTATTATTACAAGTTCAAATTAACATAATTGTAAGTTATTTTGGCAACAAACACTTAGACATGCTTATTATTAACAATTTACAAAAATACATTTTTATTGAAAACTAGCTTTCTCTATATCGTTTTTCCAAGAGAACTTTTCAAAAGTCTGGGATAAAGCTATCCTATGTTCTTTTTCAAGGTCAACTCTATGTCTGTACTAAATTTCATAAAAATCAGTTCAGTGGTTTAGGCGTGAAAGCGTAACAGACAGAGTTACTTTTGCATTTATAATATTAGTAAGGATAAGAAATGTATATCATTATACAATTTTTTATAAGTTATTAATAAAGTACAGTAGAAACTCGATTATGCGGCCCTCAGTTATACGGATTCGCGATTATCCGGACTACGGACAAGTCCGGACAAGAGAGTGGTGTTGTTGAGAGTGGCGTACGTCAAATGACAATTACCAAATATTGTAAACGAAATTAAACTTATTATTTTATTTCATGATTAAAATCTGCAGTTTTTAGTACATACATGTGTATGTATGTATATGTATAAATCTAAGAAAATGTATCCTTTAATTATTTATTAACGAACATTGCTTTTGGTTGATATGTATTTGTTACTTTTTTTAAATAAACTAAATACTACATATGCACAAACCGGCTCTTTTCTTCATAAATTCGATTATCCGAATGCCTAATGACAACAATTAGTCCGGTTAATCGATTTCTACTGTAAGTGTAAATACCTTGTCCTGTGTAAGCATCAATCAAATGTATGGTGCTTGTAACTCTTTGCACTAAACATATCGGTGATATTGAACCAAGACTTTGTGTCAACTTCTTCGGCAAGCATACTATGCTATCCTTCGACACGGGAACAATTTCAACACTAAATGTGAACTTGTAATTATAAACATTACTATGTATATCATGAGATATAAGTTTCTTTGAATGCTGACACTTTATAGGTAGAACCGATTGTATGAAATCTACCATTTTACGAGCATAATTCTCTGTAGCATAGAAGAAATCCAAACCATCTGGAATATAATTAAAATGATATTGATATACTTATTTACATATACTACACAGATCTATATTAAATAAGTTATTATATGTATAATAAATGTATTCATATTATTAGTAGTTTTCAAAAATTCCGTTCTCATTTCTATGTAGTTTCAATTATCATACAAAGACTGACTCTATTTTTTTTTTAATATTTGACTATATGCTTGTTTGAAAATATTACACACCATGTTTTGGCTTGATTCCCAAAGTATTAGAGTGAGCTTTGTGTTTAAGTATTAACTGTTCCAAGTAATAAAAAGTCTTTCTATTGCTGGCTCTTTGTCGGATTTGTACTAAAGCACGCCAATAGTCTTGGGCTTCTGAGCGATGGCAGGCATCACACATCTGATGTTGAATAACATATTCAACTATGAATGTCTGCTGAAGTACCGTCCCACCCATTACCTCTCCCTGCACTGTCAGTTTAACCTGAAGATAGTAAGAATATTTCAGTTTATACCTAAATAAAGAAGGATATGAAGATCAAATTATTTGCAAAGTTAATATTGTAACTCCACAATGGCTACTTCATGAAATTTAAACTTTTTCATGATTAATAGTTATAAATAAAGAGAAATCATTATATAAATGAAACTCTTTTTTTTTATTTTTACAATAAATATGAAAATTGTCATATGAAGTCATATTTTCAATGTGCAATATATACAAATATGTATGTAATATATATATGATTAAAACATGAACCAACCTTTATCCTCTTTGAATGTGGCTCGGTCCAAGCAAAGCCTGCATCAGCGAGCTTCACTCTGTTCAAACCCTTCAGTCTCTTAAGACATAGAGCTAACAATTCTCGTGATTCCAGAGCACATGTGACCCATTCTGAAGGTGGTTGAAGGTACCTGTAAGTTAACATTTAACTGAATCAGGTTTATTTCTATATATGGTATAAAAAAACATGTCGCAATAACAACAACTCCATAAACATAACTTACACATCGAAACGAAACTAATATTTTTAGAATCATACTAGGCGTATTTTATTGAAGTTAAAATTACCTAAACAGGGTATGAATACATTTAAATGAATTTATTACCTATTCAATAAAAAAATAATCATGTAAATCAGTGTAGAAAAACACCAAAGTTATCTTCTTCTGTACTTATAAGAAATTTGTAGATAGCCGATAGGTCAATTCTGTACATAAAATAACTACTGGACGGATTTTAACGAAATTTGGAACAATTATTCTTCATACTGGCGAAAGTCTGAGATCTCATTACCTTTCACATCCCCTGCAAAAGAATAATGTAGCTTGCTTCGGAATCCCGTCCGTGATGTCGACGTGGGCTCTCAGACAAGCGACGCACATATTTGATGGATTCGGTTCTATGGGTACCGCACATTGGCAGCATAGTCTGAAAAAGTATACGAATTTGATTTTAAAATTTTACGTAGCGGCTTTCTCAATAGAAATTGGACTAAACATAACCTCTACATATGTTTGATAATGTATGTATTAGTTACTTACACACGTGCGTCATTGGGTGTTAATTGGGTATCAGGCGAAATATACTCCATATTTTTATTTTAATGACAACGACAGAAAAAAAGAATCAACCAAAATTATTTAGTGTTGAAGCGAAATATGTGACATTTCATAAACACACATGTTTAACGTTGACACTTTAGAGTTTGATAGTAGCTAAACGTTACAGGACTATAGTTACACATATGTAATGTCAATGTCAGAAATTGTTTTTTTTTATTGAGTTTATTTATATGTATTCCTATTTATGAAACTAGGTTTAACACTCGAAACAATTTTCCGATAGTTACATCAATCATTTGACACTGTAGATAATATTTTTAAATAAAAATATTAAGAATAGATCACGATGATATTTGATGGTAGATATCTCTTTTAAGAGATAAGTTACCCTTTGTACTTCAAAATAAAAATGTAACAACTACTTTTGGAACATATTTATAAAAGGATAATATTAGTACATATTTTTAATAAGATAATATCTTTATTGGTAAATGGTACCTAAAACTAAGGCCGCTTAACTGCAGACGAACCGAGAGCTTTCCTTTTAATGATGCTAGAAGAAAATGCGAAGGTGGATCTAGTTTGAAAACGTAGAAAATAAAAATTTTCATCTTTTCTCAAAATTTCTAGATTTATTAAAAATCCAATAAACAAAATTCTTATCGGTTGCATATATCAAAGTAATGTTAAATATTTTTTATAAAAGTTTCATGTAATTATATTCAGATCAGAATATATTATTACTAAATACTTATTTGTTACGAGTAATTACTTATATACATATAAATATCACAATATTTTTAGTTAATTTCCAGAAATTATCTCGATTTAAAAAAAAACCTGACTTCTAACATGTGGAAAGAGAAGAGGAATACAATAAATTAATAATATTAAATTTTCTTTAAATATTGAAATTTTTCGAATGAACAAATAGACCATAAAGAATATCCAATAAGATGTAACAGCTGAAAAGAAAAACGTAGGTTATCTATGGTCATTATTCCTCTTACGTAAACTGCGACAAGCACCGAATTTTTAAACGAAGAAAATCTCGAAAACTTTGTTACATTCCTACAAGCTCCTTTAAAAATCGAACATGTTTTCTACCGTTGGTAGAGCTGGTCTTTTGGCCACGAGGACGGTAGTAAACAACTCTTTGGCCGAGAAGACACCATTGGTTGCCGGAGCCATAGTTAACAAACGTGATTATGCAGCTAAAGCTGCGGGAAAGGGTTCAGGTAAGGTCGTTGCAGTCATCGGTGCTGTTGTAGACGTGCAATTTGAGGATAATCTACCCCCCATTCTAAATGCCCTCGAAGTCCAAAACCGATCTCCCCGCCTGGTCCTGGAGGTGGCCCAGCACTTGGGTGAGAACACCGTCCGCACCATCGCCATGGACGGTACCGAAGGTCTGGTCCGCGGACAGCCCGTCCTGGACTCCGGCTCTCCCATCCGTATTCCCGTGGGAGCAGAGACCCTCGGCCGTATCATTAACGTGATCGGAGAACCCATCGACGAGCGTGGCCCCATCCCCACCGACAAGACGGCCGCCATCCACGCCGAAGCTCCCGAGTTCGTGGACATGTCCGTGCAGCAGGAGATCCTGGTCACCGGTATTAAGGTCGTAGATCTGCTCGCTCCCTACGCCAAGGGAGGTAAGATCGGTCTGTTCGGCGGCGCCGGAGTCGGCAAGACCGTACTTATTATGGAACTTATTAACAACGTAGCCAAGGCCCACGGTGGTTACTCCGTATTCGCCGGTGTCGGCGAGCGCACCCGTGAAGGTAACGATCTGTACCACGAGATGATCGAGTCTGGTGTCATCTCCCTCAAGGACAAGACTTCTAAGGTAGCTCTGGTATACGGTCAGATGAACGAGCCCCCCGGCGCCCGTGCCCGTGTCGCCCTCACCGGATTGACCGTCGCCGAGTACTTCCGTGACCAGGAAGGTCAGGACGTACTTCTCTTCATTGACAACATTTTCCGTTTCACACAAGCCGGTTCAGAGGTGTCCGCTCTGTTGGGTCGTATTCCCTCCGCCGTAGGTTACCAGCCCACCCTGGCCACTGACATGGGTACTATGCAGGAGCGTATCACCACCACCAAGAAGGGCTCTATCACCTCCGTACAGGCCATCTACGTGCCAGCCGATGACTTGACTGACCCTGCCCCAGCCACCACCTTCGCTCACTTGGACGCCACTACTGTGTTGTCTCGTGCCATCGCCGAGTTGGGTATCTACCCCGCTGTGGACCCTCTCGACTCCACCTCTCGTATCATGGACCCCAACATCATCGGTGCCGAGCACTACAACGTCGCCCGTGGAGTCCAGAAGATTCTCCAGGACTACAAGTCACTTCAGGACATTATCGCTATCTTGGGTATGGACGAGTTGTCTGAGGAGGACAAGCTGACCGTAGCTCGCGCCCGTAAGATCCAGAGATTCCTGTCCCAGCCCTTCCAGGTAGCCGAGGTGTTCACCGGCCATGCTGGAAAACTTGTGCCTCTCGAGGAGACCATCAAGGGATTCTCTCAAATCCTTCAGGGAGAGTATGATCACCTACCAGAAGTAGCATTCTATATGGTTGGACCCATCGAAGAAGTTGTAGCTAAAGCCGAAACCTTGGCCAAGAGCTCTTAAATTCTAATATAATGTATTCTATTTATAAAAAGGAATTATTTGTTTTTGTAGTCATCATGTAATAATTATTGAAAACACCCATGGAAAGCTAATATAAATGTTTTATTAGTATTTATATGTATTTTTTTCTCATTATTCAGATCCTAAATTTTCTTAACTTGGAATTAACTCAGGAAATAGTATTAAAATTCTCAATGGTCTGGTCACATAACTAGTTTTAATTTTCAACATATTTTTTCTCTTGCCATAACTTACCAGTTACAAATTAAATATGTATATAAAAACTCTTTTATGGATTAAGTTTCAATCAAGAACTACCTTTTTTATAAAATACTGTGTCTTTAATATTCAATAATTAATACTGAAACTACAATTTTTTTTAATATCGACTTTAGAAGTCACACAAAACTACATCTGTCAAAAATTACTGAGAATGAGACTAATTTTTTGCATGTACATCAATAATTACATTGAAATTGTTACTAGTACTTATCTTCTTCTTCATCTTCTACCTGGCAATTTCCCAGCTACAGCCAGGGTCTGCCTTACATGTTGTGAATAGTTTTTGGCTATTTGTTTTTACGACCGGCCGCCTGCCTGACATCAACCCTCTTTTGGGAATCAACATTAATCAGTGATGTCTAAATACTCTTAGAAAGTACATATGATTCGGAAAAATCACATTGGTACTTGCCCGGGCCAGGATTGAACCCGCGCCCTCGGCGCTGACAGGCGGGCCTTTTAACCAGTGAGCCACCACTTATGTCTAACTCAAATTTAGCAATTAATAAAAACGGGCTATAATTATTTTATCTGAATAATACAACAAAGTAATAAAATGAAACAACAGTTATATTAATTTTTTTTTAATACAAGGTCTTATCGTTTGCCTCCAACACGAGGTGCTGCCTTCTGACTGACTTTGGCAGCCTTAGCTTTGGGAGGTGCCTTTGCTTTTGTTGGGGGTGCAGTAGATTTCTTTGCAGCCTTTGTCGACTTCTTCTGCTCCTTTGCAGCTCTATACAAAAAAAATTATTATATAGCATATTCCATAAAATTTGTTCAGTAAATAGCATAGTCTAACTATCTATTGATGTGAGATAAAACATTTTGTATGTATTTTTCAGTTGAAAAACTACAGTAAAAACTCGATTATACGGCCCTCAGTTATACAACTCGATTATCCAGACTACTGGCCAACTATTTGAAATAACTACAACTTACAAGTCGAATTTGCTATTGAAAAGAAGAAAATGTATTTTAATTATTTATTAATAAACATTGATTTTCATTGATATGTATTTGTAATTTTTTTTAAATAAACATATAATATACTACACATGCACAAAATCGGCTTTTCTTCATACATTAGATTATCCAGATTTTCAATTATCCGAATGCCTATCTGCAACAATTAGTCCAGTTAATCGAGTTTCTACTGTATTACTTACTTAATAGCCTGGTCTCTTTGAGCCTTCCTGACTTCTGGCTTCATGTTCCTCTTGGCCATAATGTCACTGAGAGTGGCTCCAACAATAGCACGCTGGAACTTTTGGGTTCTGCGTGTGCGTTTCTTAGCCTGTTCCTCTTCCTGGCCCTTCTTAAACTTACGCCTGAAGTATTTAACATATAATATTATAAGTAACTAGCTTTCTGCCCGCAGCTTCGCCGCGTGGAGTTCGGTTATATCGCGTTTCCAAGAGAACCTTTCAAAAGTCTGGGATAAAAACTATCCTATGTTCTTTCTCAAGGTCAACTCTATCTCTGTACCGAATTTCATTAAAATCAGTTCAGTGGTTTAGGCGTGAAAGCGTAGCAGACAGACAGACAGACAGACAGACAGACAGACAGACAGAGTTACTTTCGCATTTATAATATTAGTAGGGATTGTTTTAAAACAATTAAAAATATATATTATCGTTATAAAGTTTCTATGTTACCTGTAGAGCACAGTCCATGTCACTTTACGAGGATTCCTCCTCATCAAATGCGCGGCCTCACATTTTGAATTTAAGAATGTAAAGCTCTGAAAGAAAATGATTTTACATTTAATATTATATTAAATTATACGTGGTATTGTTATAATATGGGCAAATATAAAACTAATACATTAATATCTATTTTATAGGGAAAATTAACCTTACAAAATAGCGGCGACACAAATATACGAGTAGATGTTGTATATTGTTTTTATGCACTTTTATGGGATTGAAAGAATGTTATGTTCAAAAGGGCTTATAGAACGACGTTCACGAACGAAATGTTAACTTAGAATATGAATATATATGAAATTACCTTGCCATCCACCTTAACCATAGTTTTTCCATGGCCAGGGTAAATCTTGTAACCGCTGTAGGCACAGAGACCGATCCTGAAATAAAACACTGACAATAGAAACCAAACACTTCACCCCATAATTATAAATTAATAATTTGAAATAAATAAGGGATTTCACGGATATAACAAAATATAAATTTATAATACAAACGTACTTCATTTTGACTTCTGTTGAGAAAGAAAGAAAACCAGAGGACCTTGTCAATCTGACACTATTGCATAGACTATTAAGACAGATAATAGAGAAATGGTTCGTAACATCAAACAAAATTTTAACTGAAATTATTAAATATCTTATAAAAAAATTAATTAAAAACCAAAATTAAGTTTTAATTTGAATCACAGAATTTTTCTTTAACATAATTCCAACGTTAAATATAGATATCCTTTTAACGTTACCTATATATAATTTAATATTTTAATTAAGTTTTGTGAAATAACGCTAAAGTCCTATTTTTTTAATTTTTATTTTTTTTTATAAAATCTATAATACTAAACATTTTTATCAATATTTTTTTGACAAATTCTAGAGTCTGGAGCATATCTCTAGATTCTAGCTTATGGTTCTCAATTCATTAAAGTTAAACATTAATAAATAGGAAAATAAAAATGTTTTGTCCAGACTTTTTAGAATTTCAGGTTTGTAGAATGGAATTAATGGCAAACGCAAAATTTTAATGTTATTTGAAATTAATTTGTGCCAAATTTAAATATAACCTTAAAACTATATCTACAGTTAACTATTCCGTTAAGAATATATTCACTAAGCCTTTGATTTGTAGGTGTTATTATTAATTTTAGGACGTTTTAAAAAAGATGCGTGTACTTGACGATAAAATTGTATATGCATTAAATACATCGATACCGACCGAATCATTCAAATCTAAAGTGGATCCGGCTGTAGCTTGCGAGGATTTATTTAATCAAATACAGAAAGGTCATAGCGAGAGAGAGAATATAATTAAAAACTGTATAATGTCTACAGCTGAGACTGTCAAGAAATTGAAGGCAGTGAAAGAAAGTTCTCCCAATGATATTGATGTAATAAAGAATCTTAAAAGTGAACAACGAAAGGTAATTTACGTTTAACTGAACAGCTATTAATATTATTGGGTCATATATTAAAAAGTTTCATAATATTTAATTATGTGTGGTAATATTTTTCAGTTACGTCTATTGCAAACCGAATTAAGTGTTGAAGAGGTGATCAATGAAAAGACTAGCAAAATATTTAATGAACAATGTAGAGCATATTATAAACCGGCAAATTTATGAAGACTGATAATGCATTTTAAGTTCTCAGGGTTTTCTTTATGTACATAGATATTAGTTTCAATCGTATTGTTTCAATTATATAATCTTTTATTAATAAATAGTTTTATTTTTATTATTTCCATCACACATATGTGTATTATGTATTATACAAATAATTCTAGGAATAAACTTGTTATTTTGTATCTTTTACATTTTATTGGCAATCCTCTATCTTTGAACACACAGAAGTAAATACTTTGAGTTTTTCTTTAATTATATTGTCTCAGTTACATTTCTGTAAGGAGTAGTAAGATTTGATTTTAAACCTTACTTAAATATCTTTAGAGTTCTCTCTGAACTTCAATTTTATGTTTACTAGTAAATGTAGCTACATACTTTAAAATAATTTTCCTATTAAGTTACTGCTCTAATAAATATAAATTCATCAGTTTGATTTAAACCCTTTATTATTCAAAATAATTTAAGCAAAAACATGTTAGTCATTAATTGAATAATCGTGTTCATAACTACAAGAGAATGATGAATGAACCTCACACTTGCAAGTTTAATCCACAACTATAAAAATAATTAGTATGATTATTATAATCCAATCAACATTCATAATATTTGTTAATATTCATTGCACTTAAGATACACAGTATAGGACAATTACAGTCACTATTGGATTAACAACAGTAAGTAAAAAATAATTATATATACAACAAATATATTTTAATATTTTTCTCTACATAATAAATACTTTGTGAACATCAACAAGTTTATTTGCTTGTCTGTTTATTTTCATAGTCCTCATTGTACTTCTTGTGCCAATCTATATTCATTTGCTGGACAGATTCACCCCTCTTAGCAGCGGCTTTACCTGAGAAGATAGCGGCAACACTGGCTAGTATAGTTAGAACTATCAAGATATTAGAAATCTTAATCCTTGCTTCACTTTGGGCTCGGTGAATTAAATCAGGGCTGAAAAATAGCAGTTTCAAAATAAGTATCTTGATATTGTTATAATAATTACTTTAAACATTTCTTATACATTATTTTTGTGTATTTATGAACAAGACATTTACTTATAAAGATTTTAAGATATATTGTTGGAGTCTGAGGAATTTCACCAAACATCAAAGATATTTAATACCATATTAGTATTTATAAGTTAAGGTGAGAGATTCATAATATTAGGATGTTTTGCTATAAAGAAAGTATAAATTAAAAATATAAAAGAAATATGATTGATTTTTTTTATTTTTGGGGATAAATTAACTTATGTATTAAAACAAAATTTTAAAAATTACTTATTATGTAACAGACCAGGTATATACTGTATATAATGTTATGATATAACTTATTATGTATAGATTATTATCATAAGTAAATAACGTTTTATTCTATTAGTCAAGGTTGTTGTGTAAAATATTTGGCAATAAACATGGTACATAATTTTTTGTATTTTCATTTGGTTTCTACCTCCAAAATTGTTTGTGAATGGTTTAGATCACATGTAGATCGATTGAATAACATAATAAAAATTCAACTGGTTTTTTTTTTGCCAAATTAATAAATAATAGTTGGTACATAATAAGCATATATTGAATCTGTGACCCTATTTTTAAACTTTAAAAGGGTAGCAGTTACATACGCAACAAACGCAGGTATGTCTTCCTTGCTTTTATATTTTTTCGTCCACACGAGAATAAGCTTCTGAAGTTCGCTAGGTCGGTACTGAGGGGAGACATTGCTTCCATTTTGATTTGATGAAGGTGCAGGTGTTGACAAGTACCTTCTAAAAGTACTTATGGTTGTTCGAAATTTAAATAACTTATCCATTTGACAAGGTCTGTACGTTCAAAATAATATTTCCATATCACCTTGAAAAAAATACTTCAAATCTTGATTGATGTCAAAATGACATTTCATCTTAATATTTTAATACGACTTTAGGTGCAAACATTTTAATGTAGTAAAGTAACTTATTGCAAAGGTTAACATTGAAATTATATATGTAATGTATAAGGGATATATATGTAATGTATATTTCATTTGCTAACTAGAGTCGGCCCTAATTAAAAAAATTCAAATAAAAAAAATTCACTTCATATACGTACAATTAATAGACAGCATACATAGGTATTATTTATTTATATATTTTTATCTATATATAAAATTTTAATTTAAACATAAATATAAAAGTTTTTCAAGATCTATTAGAATAAATAGAATATTAACTAGCAGTTGATTAGTTTACAACAAATATTAGTAATATAGTATTTTTAAAATAATTGTAAATTTAAAAATATTACTTTAACGAGAAAATTATTTATAGACAAGTAATTAGGAACAATATCTTTTCTAAAGCAGAAATACTTTTTATGTTTTTTTTCGGTATTGTAAGTGATAGGAGTCCAGTGCATAACTGCAACATTTTTTATTAAAAACCCAAACGTTCTGTGACGTGATCTTCCAATAAAGTGAATTGTGAATTGGAATTATATAGCAATATTTAGTAATAAATGGTGGATCAGTTGTTCATAATTTAAGTGTTAATATTTACAAACATCGTAAGTATTGAACATTATTCTTTTGGGCCGTTTTTACCTTTTGTTATGCTAGAAAAACCCAAAAATTATCGTAATATCGTAAACCGTGCGTTTTTTCTTACTCATATGTTTTGCTTTGTTTCGCCTTTTTGAAACATTTTTCTGTGATTTTATTATGATATTACATGTAAATTTTCTCTTTTTTCATCAGTAATTATTATATTTTGCATGAATTACACATGTAGATCTATTTAAACTGGCTTAAAATAACAAATGTTGGATATACTTTTCGTTGACAATAAGATTCTATTAATACGAATTTCTTTAGAGGCGACTAAAATCCCGATTATAGATAAAAATTAATAACAAATAATTTCTATAATGGAAATCTTGTGTATGTTAAATAGCAGCAATTGATTATTGAAAAGTCCAAATATTGGTAAATAATGTGTTAGTGCCCATAGTTATTCTTTTATTTTGTTTACGACAAAGGTTAAGGAAAATAAATTTTATCGTCTAAATTTCGAATAAAATAGAAAACTTATATAGTATTATGTTGTTATCTTCGCTATATAACTGATACATATTTAATTGGTGTTTTAATAATTTTTTGTATAAGAAAGCAAGGTCATGTATTTTTTAATGATTCGAATTTTTGTTACTACCTAGATAAAAAATTAAGTGATTTTTTTAGTGAATAGGTGCTTTTTGTTAAAATTAATTAAGAATATTACATTCATTATCAACTCTAATTAATTTTTCCTCATTGAAGTGCTTTATTTTATAATCACAAACAAGAAAAATTAGTTTTCATACAAACTGATTAAATTTAGTTTCCTGTCTGATATCACAAAAAATTAATTTGATTAAAATACATTACATCTCATATTTTTTTTCATTCCTCCTTCATGACAATGTTATTAGAGGAATTATGTATAATAATTTTTGAAAACACTTTGTTTATATTTTTATATATTATGTTTGTAGATGTCGGGAGGTCACAAGCATCGTTACAAGACAGCAGGATTAAGTGCTGATGAATTACGACGTCGGCGAGAAGAAGAAGGGGTCCAACTTAGAAAACAAAAACGGCAACAACAACTATTTAAACGTCGAAATGTTAAAATGCCTAGCCCTTATGCCACTGATGCGCCTTTACAGGTGATGTTACTTATTTAAATAAAACAAGCAGAATATGTATTTATATTAAGTGCTACAAATTCACTATCATAAATCTACAAAGAATTGTACTTAGATGCAATGAAACCAAACACATTTCTCTTACACTTTAGTAACATTCATTCCAAGCAAAAGTTATACTAACATATTGTATACATATATAAATATGTGGAAGAAATATTTGTTAAATATATGAATACTTATAATTTCCAGGAGGACATTAGTATTACAACATCTGATGACATCACACAAGAGATGGTGGCGGCCCTCTATGGAGACAATCCTCTAGAACAAATTTCAGCAACACAAAAATTTAGAAAACTACTCAGTAGAGAACCAAATCCACCGATCGATGATGTCATAAGAACTGGAATAGTCCCACAATTTGTAAAATTCTTAAGAAACAATTCAAATCCTACATTACAGGTTATTTTATAAATTAAAATAATTCAATATTATGTCATATCAATATATTCTTAAAGTTTAATACATAAAATAATAATTTCAGTTTGAAGCTGCATGGGCTTTGACGAACATAGCATCGGGTTCGTCAGAACAGACTTGTATAGTTGTTGAGTGTGGTGCTGTTCCAGTATTGGTACAATTGGCCAGTGAAGGTCGTGATGAGGTTCGTGAGCAAGCTGTCTGGGCGCTCGGCAACGTAGCGGGAGACTCGCCACGCTGTCGTGACACCGTGCTGGCCGCGGGCTTACTGCCGCCTTTGCTTGAGTGAGTCCCCTTATATACCTGTGATGTGAATGTTCCTAAATACCCCCACCACAAGTTTTCATTGGCTTAAAGCGCTTCCAGTCTGTCATTGGTAACAATGCAAGCTTGTGGTAAACATACCAAGACAATGCCCTGCAGTTATTTTTACCAGAAGTAATCAAATAGGCATCCCGTCCCGAAAAATTTCCTTTTTTGGTAAAAAAGAGCCAAATATGTTGAAGTTACCCTGGATAGATATTTCACTTTCAACCCCCACATTCAGATAATAATAGGGCAGCCTACATCTTAGGTCGGGGATTCCACTGATCTGCGGTTAAAGTAAGTTGTTCCTTAGAAAAAGGTCACATTTCACAAGATCTGCATATTTCCTGTCACGTAGTACACAAGCGCGCGCTTCACCCACGCACGTCTTTTAGCCATCAACAAACTGCAAGTGCTGCAGAATAGATTTATGGTACATCAGGAATTCCGACCTCTAACTTTCAACGATAGCTGCGCATTTCAAGTCGATCTCAAAGAGATTTTTCGAGACTAAATTTGATTATTAATTTTGATTGCCTGGTTGTAAAATTATTATCACCTCTTTTTTCTTACAGTATTCTCAATAAATATTCTAAACTATCAATGGTTAAGAACGCTGTTTGGACATTATCAAATCTTTGTAGAGGAAAGAATCCTCCGACGAACTTTGAAGCTGTAGCTCCAGGTAAGATCAAAGAAATGAAAACAAATTTGTTCTCATAACAAAAGTAGTGTAATCTATTGCCAATAAGGTGATTTCATACGAAATACATCAGTTATGGCTTATTTTTCTAGAAATACATGGAATTTTTATATACATTATAGGTCACATATCTTTATAATGTCTAAGCTAATAAATGGGAAAGTTTTATTTGTATCTGAGCAATGGTTTATGAGTAAAAATACAACAAACACCCACATATGTTTATCACCAATAGAAAAAATACTTCAGGTTTTAAAATGAAAAATTTGTACTGGCTTTAAAATCCTACCAGGATATCTTCTTCTTAATAATTTTGCAATAATTGCAAAAAAAGGTACAATTAAATTTAGTAAATTAGTTAGAGAAGATCTAAAGAAGGAATAAAATTTTACTTTTCTCATTACTCTGTTTGTGTTTTCTTAGAAGTCCTAGTTATTATTCTTAATTTTTTTTACTTTACTATGAAACCAGTTGGCATTTTTTTTCTTTGGTAAATACTGAAAAAATCAAGTATATAAGTATTTTAATATATTTATTGTAGGTATACCAGTATTGGCGAGACTCCTGCATCATACGGATGCTGATGTATTAAGCGACGCGTGTTGGGCTCTCTCATACCTATCAGATGGACCCAACGAGAAGATACAGGCTGTGATCGACGCTGGAGTTTGTCGCAGACTCGTTGAGTTACTCATGTCAGTTTCTATAGACTGATTATTATAGATTGTTAAATATTGTACATAATGCATGAATTTTTTCTATTCTTAGACTACACACGCTTTAAATAAGCATGCTAAAAAGCATGCAATACAAGCATGCCTGGCAGCCGTTTACGTTTGCGGGCTATAAGCATGCTTGTTTTAAGAATGCTTCTGAATAAGCATGGTTATTTTAAGCAACACTTAGACACACATGCTAGTAAACAGCAAGTGCTCAATTAAAGCATGGTTTCGTGCTTGCAATAAGCATGTGTAACAGTAGCATTAAATTAGGCTTCAATAGTTTTGGTGATTGATGCAAGTGAATTTTTTAATTGTTAATAATCACTGTATATTATTAAATGGTCATGTTAATTAGTTTTATAAATAGACTTTACAAACTATGTTACATATCACCTTGTATGGAGAACTTGATATGTATTAATTACATCAATACATATATAATAAATATGTAATATATTAATTCTTATGATATTTCAGGCATAACAAGTACACGGTAGTGTCAGCGGCTCTTCGTGCGGTGGGTAACATTGTAACAGGCAATGATGCCCAGACTCAGGCTGTATTGAACTGTAACCCGCTACCAAGTCTACGAGCACTGCTAAGATCTTCTACTGAGACGTTACGGAAAGAGGCTTGCTGGTCACTGTCCAATATAACAGCTGGCAACGCCGCTCAGATACAGGTACATACTATAATGTATGGTATTATATATATAACTAGCTTTCCGCGCGTCGAGTTCGGTTATATCGCGTCTCCAAGAGAACCTTTCAAAAGTCTAGAATAAAAACTATCCTATGTTCTTTCTCAAAGTCAACTCTGTCTGTACCAAATTGCATTAAAATCAGTTTAGTGGTTTAGGCGTGAAAGCATAACAGACAGACAGAGTTACTTTCGCATTTATAATATTAAGTAGGGATTTATGGTATGAAAATGATGAATTTTTCTTTAATTTAACTGAAACTTATTTGTGATATAGAACCTTTTTTGAATTACTTTAAAGTTGTTTATGTTCTAAAAATTATATAAAACCTATTTCAAATGTTATTTATAGTATCTATACAATGATACTTCTGTATTATTTTGCTTTCATATACTTTCTGTTAAATTACGATTTTGTCTGAATTTCGATGTTTTGGTTACTTTCTTATGATATTTGCAATTTTTTTTAATTTAAATTCTGTTAATTGAACAAATAAGTCATCAGAAAGTAAAACAGTGAGTCATGCTCGTGGTCAGAACTGAAACTATTTTCGTCTTTGTTTCATGAGTTTTATGTAGCGAATTGGTATTCTTGTATTATCTTTGAACTGAATTGATAGTATTAAAGTAAGACCCACTTATCTTTGTGTGGTTTAATTCATTATTCAGTTATTTTTCTGCTTTAAAATATTCCTTAAATATTATATGTTTACATAATCTAATTACGTATATTCTTCATTTAATAATCGTTCATATTAGAGTACGATTCAGTGAAATTAATACACTTAGATTTCCTATCTAATAAATTTATCTCATGGCTTGTAACTTAATAATTTTATTTCCCACAGACGGTTATAGACGCAGATATTATACCAATTTTGATAGAAATATTAAAATCAGCCGAATTTAAAACAAGGAAGGAAGCTGCTTGGGCGATAACTAATGCTACTAGTGGTGGGACCCACACACAGATATGGTAAACAAATAAATTGTACTGAAATATTATTATCAAGTTCATTGACCTATGTTAATAATATCATTAGTAATACAAGCAGCAAAACATGATAGATATCCCAGAAGTCAATGACCTTAGCTAGAAACTATGTATAAAAATCATACAATTTTTATAAGTGTTCTTAAAAACATTGTCAATATTTCCAGTTATTTGGTTGAACAAGGATAAACAAATTGTACTGAAATATTATTGGCAAGTTCATTGACCTATGTTAATAATATCATTAGCAATACAAGCAGCAAAACATGATATCCCAGAAGTCAATGACAAAAATGTTCTTAATTATCTTATTTAATGTTTTAATGAATATTGTATCAATATTTCCAGTTATTTGGTTGAACAAGGATGTATACCGCCGCTGTGTGATCTTCTAACTCTAACCGACACCAAGACTGTACAAGTGGCTCTCAATGGACTTGAAAATATATTAAAGGCAGGACAGTCATATCGTAGGAATCCATTCGCAACACTCATTGAAGAATGCTTTGGTATGTTTGCAATTTCTTGCTTGAAAATGTCGTCATTTGTCCAAAATTATTATAAATATATAGATAAGGCAGCGTTCAAGTATTACGTGAAATGTTACGATGCGTTACAGGGGCGGGAGGGCGTGTTTCTTACAAAACGTTACGTAGCATTATTTCTAAAAAAAATTATGAATAAAATCCCCAAACTGGCAACCCTTTTCATATACGTTACATTTTGTCCATTGTATTAGTTTGGTCGACATTTCTCATTTGTTCTCGCAAGTTTGCAAACTTCTTAATTAATATTTTACGGGGAATAGCTAGATTGCGTCATTTAGTGTTGGTTCCGTGGTCAGTATTTGTTAGTGTTTATGTGTGAATTCATAGTGTTCACATTGTAATTTCTTCAAAAGAGGGAGTTTTGTAACGGTGATCTTGTTTCATTTATTAAATTAAAACCATTACATAACTTTTTACGAATTTAGGATGAAATTGATCACTTAAGTGTTACGTAACATTTAGAGAAGGGGGGGGGGTACAGAAAAACGTTACGGTGCGTTACCGGGGGGAAAGGGGGGGTCAAAACACTTCGAAAATTGCGTAACGTAATACTTGAACGCTCCATTAGCCCAGAAACCAACAATTAATAAATGCCTAACAAAAAAATCAAGTCTTCCGATTTATTTTGTCACTAATTAGTCTTCTGAAAATAACTCCAAAATAAGAAAGGTAATTCCTTATTTAATATATAGTATATACAAACAAATTGAGTTAAGTTAGTAAAATTATTATCTAATTTCCAGGTGTGGATAAGATCGAGTTCCTTCAGTCACATGAGAATTTGGAGATATATCAGAAATCGTTTGAGATCATTGAGAATTATTTCGGTTCTGAGGGCGAAGACGTACGACTAGCTCCTGATACATCCGCCGACACTTTCACCTTCAACGCTGAGCACGCCGTACCCACTGGAGGGTATCAGTTCTGAGTGAGTCATACTGACAATAGTATAGTTGTTGTGTTGACTACATGTTGAGTATACACTCAGAAACTTTGAAAATTGGTGGATTTTAGATAACCCCCCTCTTTTTGCACCAAATGACAGGACTATACTGACAATAGTACAGTTAATGTATTGACTACAATGAAAATTAATAAGTTGAATTAAAATTAAATTTTGTTACTGTATCTTAGTCTTATCTTTTGGTAATCAAACATCATTGCTTGTTAGACTGTGTCTCAATATTAATAATTTAACTATTACTTCATTGTTTTCATAGCTCTTAGATTAAGCATACATTTCATTGTCAAAAGTGAATTAATTAATTAATTTCATTTATGACATGCTTTAAAATAAATTTTGCATAACATAAAAGATCTGTCGAAAAAAAAAATCGCTGTATTGTATTAGTTAAAAAGAAAATTACGACATAATCAACCGAAATATAATAATGAGATTTATATTTCTGTAAAAGCAAAAGCTCTTTGTGAGCTATAAATCAATATAAAAAAACATTTTTTTTTCAAATTCATGGTATTTCTAAATATAATTAATTTTTAATTTTCAAACTAGACAAATGCTTAAATGGTAATGGTTTTCATCATTATATTTTCAACTGTTGACATACATTTTATTATCAGTCAATGAAGTTCTTTTTCAATCTGTATGTTGTTTCAGATGTGTATCGACTTAGCAGCTTGCTATCGACTAGTGAACAAACTACCTACTTCAGAGTAATTATTTTTTGCACCCATTACGCCGTAGTTTAGTACATTATTATTAATTTATATCACAAATTATATAAAAAAATTAATAATATCCTCGCCTTAAATTTTTTCGCTCTTGTAGATAACGTCAGTAGTATATTAATTTTATATATATATTCATATATACTATATATATAATATACACATATTTTATTGGCCCTCATGACAGCCTCTGTTAAACTAAAAGTTCATTGTTGTGATTAAACTTTTTAATTAGTTAATATGGTTTAATTAATAGTATCGACACATGTTTTTATTTTGTTGAAATGTACGCTTTATAGATAATAAATTTTTTAAACACAAGAAAGGCATTATTTTCATATTATTTTATATATTTTGGTTTGTTTGCCTTCATATTAAAAGATATAGACCAATTACATAATTTCTATACATCTATATTATTCACCATTTTGTGCAATTCATTATGTCTATTATATAATATAATTGATTAGTAAAAAAACTAGACTTGGAACAATGAGTATATTCGGCTATACACCGAAATCTGAATATTTGAAAATCAACATGGCCGAATAAGTCAATTTTCTGCCATTTGATTGGTTAACGTGTGGCGCCGAATTTTAATGAATTGAATTGTTTCTTGTTTCCTTTAATCCACTAAAATGTTGTATTTCATTTTGGAAGCCTAAACATTTAAATTGAACAAATAAATTAATTTAATCGTATTATTTAGACAAGCTTTTGTATCACACGAATTATAATTTGCCATTAAATGTTTTGAAAAACAAATCATATTTACATAATAGTATTTTTTAATCTATCCTTTCATATTTTTTTAGTTTTTTTTTATTGGAGGTCTTCTTATCAATAACAATTATTTAAAAAACCCATATAAAAAAAACCATCTTAAAATAACCAGGCAGCAGTGTTGGAATTGTCAGTCAAATTAAAAATGTATACAAATTTTCAAAGCAATCAAATTTGTTACAAAAATTAATAAATTGTTTCATTTAAAAAAATCCCACAACAGTAAGATATATTTCTTGGGTATTCGGTATTCGGCCGAATGGTAAGTACTAAGTAGGTGTTTGATGTAATATAAGCAACAGAATAGTCTGAATAGTGAACATAGGTTGCAAGCCTAAAAAATAGTTGATAGTACCAGTGTTGCCAGTCTAATTGTTTTAACTATTTTTTAATATTTTGATACTTTTTTAATTTGACCGTTCTTATATAATATTACCAATAAAAATTCAAATCCCAAATTTAAGATTTAATTAAAGACAAATAAATAAAACATTTACAGTCATAAATTTAAAATGAAACTACTTTTTGCTTATAAATATTAAATTTTGCATTACACAGCAGCTTTGGAATTATTACTTTTATGAAATAGATATGAAAAATGTTTATGTTGTGAAAATAAGAATAAAATTACAATCAATGAGGATTTACACATTAATCTCATGTTAAAATCAATAAAAGATTATGAATTATCTTACTAGATAAAACAAAAGAATTAGAAAAGGAATAAATATAGGAAAACAAAAAACAAGTTCCCAATGAAATAACAATTTTATTTTATATTATGTTACAATTGTTATTTATAATATTTTAAAATGTATAACAAAATGTTTTTACAATTAAAACATAATAAATGTCTTTTAGTATATATTTCTTATTATATGTTTCTTGGTCAGATTCTTTTTTTAAATTAATAATTTAATAAAGTTTTAGAATAAAATCGATCAGACTTTATTGAATCACACATGGCTTACGAAGGTACTAACATCACTAATATGGTTAAAGATAAGTAAAGAAATATATTTGAATAATTTGTTGAATAAAAATGTGTTTTAATAATTCACAATATTTATTTAAATCTAGAATGAAAAATAGTCTATGGAAGGCTATAAATTTAATATAATCATCTTCTCTTTGCCATATAAAAAACTTAATAAATTATTCTATTGGAATGTTTGTATGACTTGTTTTGAAGGATGGTGCTTTCAATGTAGGAATATTGCTACAACTAATCTGTAGGCTTATTCTAACTTCGCAATATGACAATACATAAGATTAGTCCGTTTCTCATTTAATAACGTGATATAATATTATTATACTGTGAGAAGACTTAGGAGTGAAAAACTATTAACGCTTCGTAAGTAATGTGTCAATACAAACTTATAATAATCATTATAAGGATTCTTTAAAATTAAGATTTAATCTACATTTTATAATAACCAAAAGAATATTAGTATAAATAAATTCGATCTAAGAATCAGTAGAATATTATCCGAGCACATATTTCTTGGTGCTATGAATAATTGTATGTAAATGATTTTTTTATTCAACATTGTAGGATTTATAAACTGTTACATAAATTATTAAACCAATTTATATTAACGCAACGTGGTTTTCTCAGTTATATGAAATAGTCTTATATAACTCACTTAAATTTGAACGCTCTTGTCAATGAAATAAAGTATTGTTCTTAATAATGCATGCTGTTCGTGCAGTTTATCCCAAAACTTCATTCTTTCGTAATATGGATTCCTGCCTTTGGTGAGTTCGGAGCCGATGCTAAGATAATTTAATTTTTCCTCGTTCTCCACTGGATCCCACGTTATTTGCAGCAATGGATCATTCTCGTCAGGCGTTGGGTTACTAAAACAAAATTTATGAAAATAATACTTATAATAAAGGGCAAACGTTGTATTTTTCAAAGTTTTTATGTCTATGCAAATGTATATTTACAAGATAGGTTTTTTTAAACATAAGTAAAAAAAAATCGTACCCATACTTGGCGAAATTTGTCCAAAGTCTTACAACTCTTTTTCTCGTTGTAATAGAATCACGACTGCCGCTACAGAATCGTTTACATGGTGTTATAATTCGGAATAGGAAGGAGACTTCCCCGCAATGTCCTATTGAATTAAAAAAGTTCAATGCTTTGGGTACATCCCATTCACCAGCGTAGTTTAGGATGTAATAATAGATTGGGCACTCTGGTGCGTATTTATACTGTAGCCGCACGGTATTATACAAATAATACAAGAAATAAAAATCGCTTAGAAGCTGCAGATACTGTGTCCTTGTATGTTCGTTTAAAACGCCGTTACCGTTGAAGTAGAAATTTAATAGTTGTTCACCAATATTCTTCGTGAGTGTCTCATTTAATGCTATCGATTTTGGAACGAGCAATGACACATCCTCATTGAATTTCTCGAAATCTTCATAGAAATTCGTTTTTATATACTGTATGACTGAGGCTTCGATGTTGTTGCATCCTATTATGATCGGGACTTTGTAAAAATTACCAGATTTTAGGATCTGGCTGGGGGTTTTGCTGAGAAATGTCGGCATACCTTCAAATTCTTTTTCCACGCAAGGCTTAAACATAAGATCAAAAGTTTTACCATTATCGTTAGATATTGATTTATCTGATAATTCTTTGTATGCTTCCATTATATCTTCAGCAGGTACTTTTTTCAGTTCGTCGACCATATCAAATTTGTTTGCAGTCGTTATTCCTAATTTTTCAGCTAGTTCAATAGCAGCTTGAGTTGGGTTCTTATTGAGAGAAAATTTGTTAAGGGCTGACGAACTCTGCATTATAGCTTTATGGAACAATCCGACGGCCATTGGAGATATCATCATATAGTGTACTGTGGCTCCGCCCGTGCTCGAACCAAATATCGTAACATTATTCGGATCTCCACCAAACACGCTGATGTTAGCTTGAGTCCACTTCAAGGCCATCACTATATCCTTCAATCCAATGTTACCAGGAGCACTAAACTCGTTTATAGAAAGAAAACCCATCGGTCCTAATCTGAAGCCGCATCTAACAAACACAACACTTTCATTCACGATTGGTGTGGAATCGTACAACTGATCAATATAGTAAGAATAGTTACAACTACCAATCCAAAACATGACTGGCATGGGTTTGTTTGGTGTTATGTTTGGGGAGTTTACTTCCATGTATAAACAGTCTTCCGAGCCATTATTGCCCTTCTCTTCGTTTATACTTAAAGGTAACGGAGCATCTTGGGTGCAGTCAAGTAAATCTGTCCATGGAATCACCGGCGAAGGTGGCTGAAATAGTTGTTATTTAACTCAATTGCTCTATAAATATAAATACTGTACAGGTTAAAATATATTCTACTTATAACAAATTTTTTTGTAATTGTTTTTAAGGCTCTGGATACAAGTCCTTTTAAGCAAATAATAATATTAAATTCTATTATATTGCTTTTCTATCATTCTATAATTTAAATATGTCATAAAAATTATTTATTATAAAATCACTTAAACATTAAGTAACTTATCAATAACATTCAGTTCTCATTTCAACAATAAAAGTGACCATTAAAAAAATATATTTTAATATAATTGTACTAAAAATTATTCAGTTGGTTATTCTTTTCCTTATAAATCACTAAAGGTTAGTATTAAAATTATGTATAGAATAAACACTTATTCATTTTGTATATTTTACAAAAACTTACTGTAAATCTAAGAGTGCCCAAAGGCGGCTTGGCATATGGTATTTTTTTAAACTTGTAGTATGTTCCTTCTTCATTTCTCTCTATATAACCACATATCGGACCATCTTTAATCGTCAAAATACACTTTTCATCTTCATGTAATCCATCCATGTTAAATAATGGTTTCTGTAAATGTTATAATAAAAATTAAGTTAATGGTACTAATACTATGTAAATTTGTAAAATTTATCTGAAAATTATAATTGTAATTTTCCTTAGAACAAAGTTTTATGTTCAGTTACACACCTACAAAATATTTCAAGGCTAAAATTTGTAATGACAAAAAAGAGTAGAAGGTTACATGTAATAAAGAAACTGTTCTTGATTTTATCTTGTATAAGCATTAAAACCAACTTTGATGCATGTATATATTTGTTTACATAAAATTTTAAGAAATTAAATGTTCAAGTGAAAGCAACTAAGATCTAATTTAAATATTTGGGTGCCTTTAATTAAATTGAGAACTGTTCATTTGTTTTATTAGAAATTTCAATGCATTAACAATCTCAGACTTCACTATAACTAATTAGGCAAAGATATGAAAAATAAAAGTCAAATATATTCATATTAGTTATATTTCTTAACCATCAAGTCGAATGTATTGTATTTCTTACCGACTAAGTCACATTAATTGTAGTTTCACATGAGAATGCACAAACATTTATTCACTACATGTCTTAGTATTATAACTACAAATACATTGCTTATAAGTATTTTTACATTTTACACATATCGCACTTAGAAAAAGTCAATACCGCACAGTCAAATAATTGTCCTTTAACAAAATGAATGCGGCAGTTGAAGAGTAAAATAATGTATAAGTGTACATTGAACCGATTACACATAAGGTAATTGAAAAGTAAATAAGCATACAACTATAATATTAGGTTTAATTATACATGTGTTTTAGTGTCAGTATGATTTAATGAAGGTCATTTCATTATCAGTAGTGTTTTATAGATAATTTTTCGATGGACCATAAAGTACTTAGGCCAAGTAATGTAAACAGCTCTTATTGATATCATTTTTGACATAATGTCAAACTGACATTACTAGGTTCTATTTGATCGCGTTCATATATTATACTTCGTAGATGAGATTGTTTGATATCATGGGTGATTTATTTATTTATAAAGAATTTACAAAAACCACATTTTTTGAAGAGATATCACCGTTATCGCTATCATCAGCTGACAGTGTACTTAACTGATAATATGATTCCAAAAATAGCATATTATGTTATTATTTATTCGACACTCAATTATCTATTACATATCTTCTTCTTCTATATATATATAAAAATGAATTGCTGTTCCTTAGTCTCACTAAAACTCGAGTACGGTAGAACGGATTTACCTTATCTTAGTCTTGAAATGTTCGTGGAGGTTCAGGGAAGGTTTGAAAGCTGAAAAAAATTGATTCATTTCCGGGAAAACCCTAAAAACCGCCCTTTTCTATTTCCCATACAAACGTTTTCTTTGACATTAGATTTGAGTTTTGACAACTAACTAATATGTCAATCATTCTGTTCGATTGAAACAGGAGAAACCTGATTATTAATGGCCTCTTAAATTAAACGGAATAGAGTTCGCCCGGTCAGCTATACATATATTAGTAATGACGAAACTAACGCGGACAAAGTCGCGGGCAAAAACTAGTGAGTAATGAATTTACAGTGCTGATTTCTTGTATTATGGATATTCCATACAAATTTTATTATTATCAAGCTAGGGTTATAAAAGGGAATGTAATATCCTACAACGAATTATTTAACGAAGATTTTTTAATCATCATCATCAAATCATTTGAAACATTTTTTTTCGATCATGGTTTCATAAAAGCACCTAGCAGTTTCTTATGGATATTAAATCAGTTAAAAATTTAATATAAAAGTTAGAAAATTTTTGTGATATAACTTAATCGGATTTCGCATTTCATATTGTAAACATTTAAAATAATCTAAAAGTTAAGGAAGTTTCAATGCGAATTCGGAAATAAAATATGAAAATTAAAAGTGAGAGGCACACACTTTTTTTTTGACCCTCAAACAGTGGTTGCTACTTGCAGTAAACCTCAACTATCCATAACTTATAAATAAAATTTGAATTTGTGCAATGCAAGAAATAACTGTGTTTCACTTATTGTTCTACAATTGTCAGTTGACTAAGGAGTAGCCCAATTCAATATGTCATTGTAAAAAAATCAAAAAGCTTTCAAAATGCGATCTAAGACTTTCGCGAGTTTAAATGAAACTAATATTTTTTGGATTACTACGGATATTTTATTATTTATTCACATCTCGTCTGTTGGTAATCACGGTTCCTGAAAGTGACCGAAACATCAGGATTATGTATGTAGTTTGTTTTAAATAATAAGATAGGCGTAGTAATCCGAAAAATATCAGTTCCATTCAGAAAGCTTACAGTTTTTAAATTTTAACTTATATTAGAAAGGTCAAAGGGATGGTAGCTATTAAAGGTAGCAATGTTGTCTATATTAAAACCGACATGTTTTATGTTTAAAACCGGGTCTTATTTATTTTATACGCTTCTCATTACCAATACGATCTAATACGTTCTAAGTAATTAATAGCCCCTGGAGTATATTTTCTTCAGAAAATCCAAGCCGTTGGTATAAAACAAACATTCTTGGTAAATTATGGCCACTATTATCCGTATTGTCGACCTGCAGTTCGTTTAATGTTACGTCGCTCGTTGAAGACCTTTGTAATAAGGTTACAGATGATGCTCTTATGTTTATCCCATTTGCTGGGTCGTAAATTTACGAGACCTATGTATTAAGTCCTCGGAAATTGTTTAGAATATTTTATTCACAATTTCTATTATACGTATTTTAAAGTTTTGTAGGCTTTGAATATAAGTATAACAAAATATGTAAAAGTTTTTTGTCTTCATTTAGAGAAGTTACCTGTGTATATTATTTTATTATTGGTAATGAATATGAAAGTGGATTTCTCTTAATTTCTTAATTCGTTGTGGAATATGAATTACATATGAGACCTGAAGGATAGAATATAGACAAGGGTTTAGAAAAAACTCTGCGCCCGTATGATACCGATTAAAGTATAACTATATATATACAGGGTGACTGGTGAATTACTATCGATACTTGAGGACGTGATATTTGACGATCATATATGACAAAATAAAAATTAATATAACATAAATATTAATAAACTTCTAAGTAAAGTTAACCAAAAGTTATGTAATTAATTACGCATCGTGTGAACACCCTACAGATTAGGTATACACTCACACACACATACGTGTCCGGCGGCGTAGTGTTGTATCAGCACGCCGCCGCACGCGTCCACACTTGGAACACTTGGAACGTGTCAACACTTTATTTATTTATACGGAAATTTGGTCAAAAATTAAGTGCCTATTTTTTTTACATAATTCGAATGAGAATCATGTACCGAGTATTCTCCTTAAATATTGATAGTAATTCACCAGTCACCCTGTATAACTCAGGATTCTATAGAAGAATGAGTTATGAATATTGTAACTAATCTAGCTGTAAGAACCTCATATGATTTAAGATTGCAAACTTAAGTGGATAGTTCGGCATCTAAGGTAATGAAATCTTAGAGAAAGGTAAATCGTATAAGGAAAATACTGGTCACTGAAGACCAATATTCCTTTGACCCACTATCGCAGAATAATTTTCCAGGGAGTTGGATTATTCCCAAACTAAATTGGCTGGAAGAATATAATATTCATTAAAAGAAAACTATTTATAGCTAACAGAATAAATCCATCAGAAAATCTAAAACGTTATAAGGAGCTTTCAAGTCCTTAACGTAGCAGATCAGGGTAAAATATTTCCAACTACATGTTAGCGGTGTTTCGAGATCACTGTGAAAAAATCAACTATATCATGAGGATATGGTAGTTAAGACATGGAGTGAGAATGAGTTTAATTTAATTTTAAATTACATAGTTTATGTTAACATACAGTTAAAATGTACTACGTTTCAAAATCATGAAACAGCTCCTGTCCTTTCTCACTATAAGATTGACAAAAGATCCTATAGCGTAATGCAAGCGGAGTGTAAAACTGAACTCTTGGTATTGTTTAGTTCTACAAAAGTTTCGTGAGGCATTTTTTGTAATACATATATCAGATCAGAGATTTCGATATAATTATAATACAAGAACTGGATTGTGTATATACAAATTGTACAAGACCTACTTCCACCGGGGTCCTTTTTTAAATTCTTATTATCATTATTACAAGTTCATATACATATAGAAGTTAGCAGCAGTGCATCAATCTAGATTTAACTTGTAGATACACAGAACGATACCATATACGTCTATTTTAAGTAAAGCTTGAAATGATTTCTTCACTGTTCTGCGACGGTAGGATCTTGAGTGTTTTATAATATAAATATAGAAAAAAAATTAAACTAGTCATGACCAGTGAGGATCATGACATTTGGTTAATATATAAATTTTTTTTTGGTAGCACCAGAATCAACAGCCCATTTTTCATTCACATCTACCTTGTGATTTAAGAAAAAAAAGTGAAATTTTGTAAAAGACCATGTCTTCTTTAAATTATAATTTTGAATGATAATTCTGCAGAGGAGAGTAACTACATATAATCTAGAATGAAAAAGGTGATCCCTACGTCTTTTTGTCTTAGAGACAACAGACACATTTCAACACTAAATTGCATATAAGTAAGGAAACAGCTGCCGTCCTGATTATTCTTTCTTTGATTTTATTAGTATTTTTTATTCCCGTTAACACCAAATTATAAAAAATTAAAACTGTTACAATACATGTCCATTATACGTGTCAGGAAAGTAAAGACAATCCTTTTCTACAATTATACATATATCGTCAATCTCTTTAACAAACGTTTAAAAGGGTTTTTTGTTCCCGAAATGTAGTAAGTACAAAATAATTTAGTATAAAGTATATTTAATATTATATCTGTAAAGAGTTTAGATCCAGGTAGTCCTAAAACAAATTAAAATTTGTATATATTTCTACTGCTTGGTTTGATCAACTTCTCGGTCGTATAATGATTTCAAGGCACTCTCAGTCATGATGGAATCATCGCAGAACTTCATTTTCTCCACTATATTACTTTGAAGTACTGCGACATCTTTTTGAAGAGTTCTCTTGAAATCAGCTGTGTTGATCATGTTTGCGAAGAACTTACGATTATCTGTGAATACGGGTGCGTACCCCACTGTAGTTTTTGAATAGGCGTTTATGTAACTGTGTAGATTGTCGACTAGGAATCTAAAAATATATACATATTTATATTATAATTATTTATTGTATTGATTTGTATTGAGTTGTAATTTTATAATTGCATTAGTCTTCCAGAATTAATTATATGTAAATTTATAATAATAATAAAAAATATTAAATAGTTCACAATAAAACGGGCATGCCTTTTTTGTTGCTTCCATCTTTCCCTTAAGACGAAATGCGATTTTTGTAATACTCACAAATTTAAGTAAATTATAATTAATATTACCTTTGATTTGGCATTGAGGTGGAGTAACAATGTTCAAACATTCTCAAGTATAGATCAAATACCTCATACGCTATGTTGAAGCCCTCAGTTGTTCTGCAAAATAATACAATTTGTGTATTTACTTCTACATCCTGAAAATTATCTATACATTATTCAGTTTATATTCATCTTAGTTTTCAATAAACAGATTTGGACATAAAAGTAAATGAGTGTGGGGTCCTATTTTCGAATTCTGTTTTGTGGGTCAATTTTTGTTCTTAACTCACTGATGTTATTTCATTGAGTTCAAGAATAGCCTTTGGTATAAGAGACAACTTTGTATTAAGTAGACAACTAAACATTTAACAGGATTAAAAACTGAAGTACCGCAACTTATACAATGCAAATATGTAGTTTCCATTCGAAATAGGTAGTACGTTAAGCCCCTTAATATACATAAAGGTTTAAACACAATTACGAGTACTGTTTAAAAGGATTTTTCACTGGCTAATATTTTTATACATTTCAATAATTTAAAAAGAAAAACACTTGACTAATTGGATATAAAAATTCTGCGATTATAGTTGAACGCCACTCTCTGTATAGTACTCTGTACTGGCGACTCAGGTCGTTCAGTCAAGGAGATGATCTCAGGAACCGAGTGTCTGACCGAGTACAAGTTCTTTTCGTTCGGTTATCAATTATCGGGGGTGGTTTATATAAAAAAAATTATCAATCGGTCAATATCAATTTTAGGGCCGGAAAACGAAACCCATGTCAAAAGACGTTTCTTTATCGAAACGGTGAGGTCATTTCACTCAACTTGCAGCTAGAGCGACTTTTTCTACCGAAGCGAATAAATCCAACTACACCAGATTATTATCATGTTTTTTGGTTATATTTCAACAACTATACATTCTCAGTTATTAAAAAAATTAACAAGAATTATCCGAGTAACAATAATTATTTTTGTTTTATAACGTACTTTATGCAAATATGTACAATAAATGTGATATTTTTACAATACAACGTAAAAATACCCTTTACAAATAAAAATTATCATGGTTCCTTCAAATAATTTATCAATATTTTTAATGACAACTTTGACTAAATAATTCAAAACCAAACACATTTTATGTCTGACCAGAATAAAATGAACCTTAAATTCACTTTATTATTGCATGATTTTCAACAGTTACACTTAAATTATTAAGGCGCCCCCAGTCTGGAGGATTTAAAATTAAACAGTAATTAAAGTGAGTCAACACACGGTAGAACTTTACACAATTTCTCTAAGGGATTTTAAGTTAGCTAAATCCTCATATTAACTTATATCTCTATACTCGTAGCAATTTATAATGATGCAAATATGTTTTGGGATTTTTTTACCTGAACAAGGAAAGGAGACGATAACTTTTAAATGGTTGTAAATATTTTCTTCGGACACATCGTCGTAAGAAGTTCTAGACGTAAATATAAATAGTGTACATAAAGTTATTGTCGGTGATTTTTGATTTTCAATACGTCCCTACTCATCTGTCAGCCATTTAACAGCTATTACCAAATATAGAGTATATTTTTAAGTTATCACACTAAAGTCTTCGCTTTTTCAACTAGTAATTTTGACATACTTTGGTCATGAGTTCAGTTCAAAAAACTTCTTTAGAAGTTAAGATGGTGATAGTATTTTTTACAGGCTTAATATTTTGTGTATAAGGTACATTACATACATTTGGGATAATGGAAAAACCTTTGGCGTAAATTAAAGTATATCTTATAATCTACAGGTTATTTTAGGTACTAAGTCTTTTATACTACCGCTATGATTGTTATGAATATTTGGGACTGTACCCAGTTCAATATCAATATATAATATATAGATATAAGCACTAGTGTTTGATAACATAACATTTGGAAAAGCAGACAAAGAAATTGTTTTTTGTTTCCTTTTCAACCAACTGTTTCATCTTCTTAAATGCAGTTTTGTAAATGCCTCAAAAACTGTTTTTAGCTTTCTGTGAACAATTTAATCTTTAGAGAACAAGGTAAGTCGCTATAGTGTGAAATGAAATTTCAGAAAAATGAGTATAATTCCGTAAAGCAATCACTTTTCACAGACAGTCAAAATATCAAAATGAAAGGCTTTAGAGCTATAGGAAAATTCGTTTAGTTCAAAAGCTTGTAATGGCCGAGCTTTAGAGACTTTAAGAAAGGTTTGTGTTTGGATTGAGATAAAATCGTTGGAGATACGGTTTCTTGAAAATCGCTTTACACTTTCCGATCCAATGTCCATAAAGAAAAAATAAAATTAATTATACTTACTTATACATTACAGTCTTATCGGGAGAAACTGTTTCACAATAATTCAACTGAATAAATGCCACTAGAAAGTATACTCTCAGCAGGTACATTGTTGTAAATTTTATGCAACAATAATGTTATTCAAAGTCATAAAAAATCCTTAACTACAATGGTTTTTGTGAACGACGTGAAAAAAGATTTTTTATCGATTGTTGTGTTTATATACGTATACGTATATATATATACTTTTTTAACATGCTCGTTTAATTATTAAAATAAAATAATTTTGATAATTCAGTAGTTCTTTTAGAATTATGCGTATTCTTCTTTATGTTTAATGTTAGTTAACTGTTGTAAAAGATTTAAATATACTCTTTGTAGCTTACTCGAGACAAAAAGAAATGAACAGACAAAAGTATCGTTGTTACAAATCAAATTATTTCAACCGCATATTCTACTTATATACCAACCATAATACATTATATGTAACATATGTATAATGATTGTAAAATTTTATATGAAAGTTTAAAATAAATTGATAAGAGTACAGTCTATCTCGTGGAACGATGAAAACGTGCACGATAAATTTATGAAACCATTTCTCAAGTGACTTTCAATTTAGTTTCATTGACAGAGGTGGAAATAAATTTTACGATATCCCCATCGCATGATTTATTACACATAAACACTATTTATGCAAACAGTTTAATATTTCGGAAAATTTTTGTAACTAGAATTTTTCAGTAAACATAATGTTTCGACTGTGGCCCAGATATTGTAATTTTCATATATCATAATACCAATGTTATAAATAAGAAAGTGTATGAGGTGTTTATTGATTTCTTTCAAACAAAAAGTACTGTACGGATACTAACGAAACTTTACAGTAATAATGTTCAGTCTTTCAAGTTACTCTTAGGTTATAGGCTGTCCTGTAATTCTGTATAGTACCTGTGGGATTACGGCATAATAGTCGTGGTTTTCATGAAGTCACGTGACATATACTATAGAATAGATTATGTAGATAGCGATGCCGGTTAGCTGTTATATATGTATATTGTTTTAATACACTTCATAAAGTTGTACCGAAGGTTTCTCGGACGACGTCGTTGGAACAAATTAGGTAATGTATATAACTATAAATATTTATGTGTCTACTACATTATTTATGTCAGTAAATCAGTACAAATGTTACTTCTTGAAACAAATAACTTAAAAGGTTACAAAAAAAATTACTTATTGTTAAGTTATGGAATGGATTCAATCTTATTTATTTATATATCGTATTAAAGAACCTTATCGTGTTTGCGCGCATCATGTTAGCATACAAAACTAAAGCGTAAAGTAAAATAGAAAAATAATAAAGCATTATTGACTGACTTATAAATGGAAGCTCTCAGTTCTTTTTAAATTTTGAAAATCCGGTATACACGGGATCTATTTTAGGTGTGCCAGCAAATTCCCCGTGATATCTGCATAGTGCTATTGCAACGCAGCGTTTTTAAAAAATATCGCCAATTCTGTTTTGGAATAGATAGCGATGTTTGAAAATAGTTTTATCTTGATTATCAAGTTTTAAAAAATAAGTCTTTTTTTTAAATAAAAATATTTACTTCTCATGAATTTATATTTCATTCTTCTGTGCTTTATCGTGCTTTTTATATCTTATTTAATTACATCACATTGTAAATGTACCAGAAACGAACAATTTAAATATGTATACAATTAAAATCGTTAAAGAGTTTTATTTTTATCGATAGAAATATTGCGGATATTATGCCAACGTTACAACGGTAAAAGTTTTTACTCTGGAATGACGTTTAAAATAAATTTCCGTTCCCTCCGCTCGCCGTTCATTTGAACATTTACTGGATAATTATTAAAACGCTAACGCTATTCGCTCTCGGCCATCGATTCAGTTTTCGATAATATAGTATTCAAATTGATAATTAACAAGTTTGAACTCTGAAAGTTTAAGTGAAGTTCGATGTTATCTTTCAGTCTTAACAGATTTTTTATAACAACAACGTGAAAATAATGTTATATTTCGGTATTATTGTTTAGGATTCAGGACCATTGGCGTTACATTTTGACCGTGCGTAGTGGAATGCATGTCGATATTAATTAGTGGGCCTTTATCTGTCACAAGCGATGAGAGTCTAATCCGATCTGCCAATCGCAGTCGGAGCTGTCGATTCGGTAATTACTTAGCCATGCCACGTCTTATAATCCCAGCGGTATACGATGCCTCGAAATTAGTCATATATATTAGATTATAAGCTATTATAAATTTGAATGTTTTGATTATGAGTTTGTGAAACTATGTATTTCGTATTATAGGACGGATGATAATCCATTAGTTTTGAGTCTATAAATAAATACCAGACGGTAGACTTCTAATTGTGTAAGATCGTTATTATTATCTTAAGTTTGTTTGATATATTTATATTATGGAAATATAGCTTAAGAGATGAAAGATTGTATTATCTGTTTTATAATCTAGTCTATTCTGAACATTTAAATAGAAATGAATACAACCTCTATCATTATTTGAAGTCAATTGAACCAACTACAGTAATAAACATATTAAATTTATTAATCCAGTTATTACAACTATATATATATATACATATGTGAAACTTGGGAAATGTCGGATTTGATTTTTCGATGTAAAACTGCTACTAGGGCTACCGCATTTCAGGCATTGTTATCTGAATGTTACGACAAAATCCAATAATATGCCTATAAATCAACTCTATTTCATTTACCTGAGGCTTTTGGTAATTAAGTCTTGTTTTTTTGTTATGTACCGCAAAATGTTCTCTGTGTACTACTACGGTTGTACGTTGGAAACTCTGTGCTTTAAGGTAGTAGTATTGTCATGGATGTTGGTATAGTTTTGATTACGATATCTCAAACATTAGATAATTACGAGACATTTTCTGTAATGAAACTGGGATGTTATTTTTTTATTAGTGGAATGTTATTTGTGATAACGGATGTAGAAGTTTGGCTTATCTACACACATATATTGCTAACTTCATTGTACTATTAATAATAA